TTTCCCTGTAATGCCTTACATTACCACATTACAGCAAAAAGCAATGCTTACAGTAATTAATTACTTTTGTACCGCATTACTCCCAACACTAAATAAGCGTTCCACACCTTTAAGTTATCTGAGACTTCTGGCATGTTTTGTGCTCCAGATTAAATAACTGATTTGAAAAAGCTACAATATTCAGAATCAGTCCTTCAATAAGCTGATTTTTTAAAAATTCCTCATTCTCAGGGTTCTTCAACCATCACATCTCCAGGGACCTGTTTTAAGTACACAGTCAATACATCCCCAGTGGCCCACAGCTCCTCTGATCTGAGTGGAAACTGAAGAAGGAGACAACGCTGACAACAAACACTAATCACTTGCTGCTATAGAGGCAGGAGGATGTCAAAGTGGACGCAAGACTCTCACTGTGGGATTAACATTTTTAAAAAGCCATCATGCTACAATAAACTGTCAGGGTTAGGTCAGTGACAGCATCAGAACCTGCTAAAATTCTAAAAGAAGGCTCAGAACCAACCCGCTGTCTAGTCGCCCGTGACACGAGGAGGGAGATGACTAAATCAGGCCAAACGGTAAATATTTTAAGAAGCCTCATCAGTTATTGATGCATGGCTTTACCTTGCTCAGCAAACGACATATCAAGTATCTTTCCAGTCTCCGCGCCCTAGCCTCTGTATGTTTCATGCAACGTGACGTGCTTAGACATAATCACAAAAGTTTGAGAAAGGTTTTCTTTTCTGTCATTATATCACTTATTTCTGGATTAATGGCTAATTTGATTAGAAGAATTTATTAAAGAGTATTGACTGTTATTTTTAAACCTGGATTATGCCATGAAAGACCTTGTCCTTAATAAAGGTCAGCTTGAATTTGGAGATTATTGCACCTAAATTGTGATGCTGTAGCAGTTTTGTTGCGTGTTTTATTTTATGCATTTCAAATTAAAACAAACTTCTGCTGTTCTGTATAAATGTTCTGTTCTCCTCATGTGACTAGGAAGGGACTTTGCTCATTTACCAGAGGTTATGCGAGTCACTCTAGATCCTAGGCAGAATAGGGTTGTCACGATACTAAAATTTCAAACTCGATTCAATACTGGAGAAAAAAACTCGATACTCGATTTCGATACTATTTAAAAACACCAATTTATTGAACAAGTTTATTAAAAAAATAACATTCCTCAATTTATATTGCAGAAATTAAATGTTAAGAATTAAGTGTGTAAAGTGCTTAAACCTTTCAAGTATCGGTATTTTTTAAAACGTGCATACAAAAACTGGTGAAAGTTAACACTTTAAATCATGAATTGTCTCACTATATATACACCATTTGCAGAGTGATATTTTGCTGCTTAAACTCTGTTTAAGGTGCATTTTTGTCATAAGATGTAATGCCATATGTTTTGTTCTGTACTTTTGAACAACTCTGTTGGTCAATAAAGGGAGAAAACGAATTTCTCCACAGTAGGACAAAGGTACATCTACCGGTAATCTTAATAAAAACAGATTGGCGCACGGCAGTGGCGTCATTAAAAGCGCCGGTTAGATTAGCCGCGGCTAATCTGTTTACGCCTAGAAATCCCAGACCAGACCCGCTCCAAACGAACAGGGGAATCACGTTAATGATTCCTAACAAAACCTTTCAACATTGAGATGTTTTGGTGCAGATAATGTCTTATTTCGAGGCTGCACCATGGGTGCCCGTCCGCACCCGTTATATGGATATACACTGATGGCGATTCGGCGATGGATCTAAATACCCCGGGGAATCCAAGTAGCACCAAAGTTGTCAGCGTGAGTAAACAAACGTACTGCATGCTAGAAATTAAGTCCGGGTTGCAATAAACGGGAGTTTCCTTTAAGCACATAAGCGTGAATATACAACTACGTGTCGGACTTGGTATGCTAATTAAGTTGGGCTGTGAAGCGCCTCCCAAATTCGCTGTTTATGTTTTTGTTTATTTATTTGGCAGACAAAACTTGGATCGGAGACAACTCGCGTGGGAAATTGCAATGTAGCCATGCGGCGTCTTCTTCTGTTTGTCTGGGAGGCGGAGGCTGCTTTACAGCATCTGGCTGTCGTGCGTGTCGGTGTACTTGAAGAAGGCTGTGTATAATAGTCCATAATATCGATACCACAGGGATGGAATATCTAATTTAAATACCACTTTTAACATCGATTTATATCTAGGTATTAGGGCTGCAACAACGAATCGATGAATTCGATGAAAATCGATTACTAAAAGCGTTGGCAACGAATTGCGTCATCGATTCGTTGTGTCGCACAACTCTTCCAAAAGCGCCCCCCCTTCCCGCCCGCCGTTGCGCGCAGACCAGAGCAAGTCAGATCAGCGCGAGGGAGAGCCGCAGATCAGCGCGAGGGAGAGCCGGTACCGGCAGATCAGCGCGAGGGAGAGCCGGCAGACTTGCGCTGCTGCGAACCGGTTCCGCATTGTCGCACAGCGATCCAGGCAGCTGCTGCCAGCGCACGGTCCATTCTCAAAGTGGCGCAACCAAAAAACTATAATTAGCACACGATCGTTCTTGTCTGCACATGTTCTCTATTTTCTGTCTTATTTGTGCCTGAAGCGCTCTGCTGCGGAGCTCATCACCTGTGCTGTGGTGATTTCACCTCACGCAGCATCGAAAACGCGCTCTCCGCTTTGCGGTCAGGAGATCCCTTTGATCTGCTCAAAAGTAACTGATGAGGTGAAAAAGTAAGAATCCAGGCAACAGATTTTCTGGAGAATTATGAGGAGATGCAGGAAGATGAGAGACAGACAGGACAGGAAAATAGTTCAATAAAAACAAGAAAACAAAACAAAGTGTTGAAAAGTAAAATGTAGGTAGATTTATCTCCACGACACGTTTTTACCAGTAAAAAACAATAAGTTATACACATGTCATAGTTATACATCTGATACAATTCAGATCACCTTCAAAACTCAGTCACACACCCAGGGCCGTTTCAAGACATTTTGGGGGCCAAGGCTAAATGTCTTTCCCCCACCCCCCACCCCCCCATAACTGGGCTCCCCAGAAGCCTCTGTGTAATTCATGCCCTCTCCAGTAGTGTTAGTTATATGGTGTTTATAAAAGCCCCTCAGACATTACTGACATGTTCTAATATTATCAGATGAAAAACTAAATTATCAGACATGCTGTCTCATCTGCTTCTTTTAAAAACTTGCAAAAAGTAACAAAACCATTTGAAAGCCACTATTTGTGGATTCTCTGAAAGTTTCCATGGAGTGTGTGACAACTTATTTTTTCATTGATCCTATCGTCTAATCTCACAGCTGAAACAAGCATCCTTAATCTGTGCACAGGAAGCTTACCGATGCTGTAGTAAAACAAAAGGTATAATAATTTATTATTAATAAAAACTTGTTGCAGCACTAAAGCAGAAAAATGAGATTTTGCATTAAATATGCAAAATATTTAGATATGAATTGTTTTAGAGCCCTTTAATTGGCAGAATCTGATATTAATTTAGTTCTTACAAAAAATGGGTCCCAACATGGTTTGTGTGGCGTTGCCATAGTGTGACGTCATAGGCACAGATCCCCTGTCCTCTTGTTTGGAAATGGAAATATGATCACCCTACATTAAACAAACTGTCCACCCGGGCTTTTGCGCTGCACAGAGACGCTTCGCTGCCTACGACTCTGAACGTCAGTTGAGAGTCAGTCTCATGCAGACTGACCAATGAAGAGAGGGCCTCAAGTTAAGACCCTCTCCTCATTGGTCAGTCCACACGAGGTGGGTCAAAGGTTACTCTGGGCGGGTTACGTGTTGTCAGGCATTCAAGTATTGAGTATATTTACTGCATATTACAGTAAAATATTCTGTATGTGACCACATTATGGTGATCCTTGGGTCGTGATGATGGAGCCCTTGAATATTGTTGCCCAGGGTACAACAAAGTGTTAATCTGGCCCTGGTTCCGCCGTCACATTCCCGCAGAAACTGGTTCATCACACCGGGGCCAGACTACTAGCATGTGGTTTTACAACCACAATGTCCTCGGAAGCAAAAACGCTTTTAAAAGGGAGGGAGGAGTCCTAACTGTTGCTGCAGGCGTGTTGTGTGAGAGTGCAGTTATATACTGGTTCATATATTTTTGGGTTCAGTTGCTTTCATGTGGCCTAATGTGAGTCTATTTGGGATCATTGGAATGATCAGCAGCATTTCTTGATGTGACTTTATGGCAGTTGCCCAGGGCATCATCGCAAGGAGGATGGCATTCATTTACTTTTGTTTTATTTGGTATTTTTTCAGTCATTTTTGGAAATAGTGATCAATTTTGATTAATTCACAGCCTATGTTTAATTACATTTAAAATAAATGTGAACAGATGAGATCAAACAAAACAGATGAGAATTGCCCTTAAGCTGTTTAACTTGGGCCAAGCATTTTAGGTCACAGATAGATGTAGCTTAGGGTCTCTGTCTATACACCTTATAAGACAATTTAGGTGATGGCATGTTGTTTTTCTGCTATTGAACTGTTTTCTAATAATGTTGTGTTAAATAAAGTGAAGGAAGGAGAGAAATAACGTTTCCCTAGCAGTTTTTAAAAATTTCCCCATGTAATCCGATTAACCGATTAATCGTGTCGAGACCCCATCCGATTAATCGATTATCCAAATAATCGTTTGTTGCAGCCCTACTAGGTATCGATTTTTTGGACAACACTAGTGCATGATTTATCTTTTAGTAATCCTGTCACTAAGAAAGGTCAGAGGTCAACACAAGAAGCAGAACAGCTGGTAAAGCTTGAAGTTGTGCCTCCTGGTAGGATGAGATCCTCTATCTCCAGCTAACACTCATCTGGCTGCCTGCTGACGCATGATTTCTACATGCTACTGTCTGTTGATCATGGATTCATTCAGTTTAACCCAAAACACGGAGAACATACGTCTTTATGAAAACATCCAAGTGCAGCCACACTCCATCACGGTCAGCTCAACAATCACGTTCTAGTGGGACGACTTACTGGTGGTGTTTCCTGACATCTGAATGATGCATTTGCTTTCTTTTTCCGTCTCTCGTGAATTGAAGGGGCGGACCCGAACCGCCACCTTTACAGAAGCCCCTGCCATGGTGCTGTCCTCTTAGCACTTGTGGGCGCCTCGTCTTGTGCTCAGGTGTTGGCTCGTAGGTCTCTAGAAGGGTGGAGAAAATGGAGGCCTAATTAATGCAAACATGAACTTCTTTTCAACATGAGGTTTTAAATAACCACAAAAATGTTCATAACTTTATCGGGTTGCCAAGCCGGTTGATGTACTGACGCGTGTTAGCCGAGGGTCATTCACAACACATATCCTGAGTGCTGTCGGATCACACAAGGTCTTGATTGGAAACTTTGCTCTGAAGACCTTGACACTACTCATTTATTTTATTCATTGACAGAAACACTGAAATACCACTGCATATCTTGGTAAAAGCATTCACATTAACATGATAAACACACTCGGGTAACACATTGCTCGATTGGCATTTCCTCTCAAGTATGATCCATTTCACACTGGATTAAAGTTTAATGGAGGCAGGATCTGAATCAAGTGAGACAGATGCAGAAAACGGAGGGGAAAGGTAAAATCGGCCTCATTGTTTGTTTTTAGGGCGCAAAGTACAAGTGAACTTGAGAAACTAGGCTGCTAGGCTATTGGTTCTGAAACGCGCTGTAGCTTCTGTCCACAAAGGAACAGCAAAAACCGAAACTCTGATTTGGAAAGTGTTTTGAAAAATGTCCTCATGAAAAACTGTTTAGAAAAGGGTGAAAATGGAAGAAAAATCAATGATTTTTCCTTCATTTGACCCTGCTTCTTAGCAAAACATCTCATGAATTAAACTATTAATACATACTGAATTCAAAAACAGTGTTAATGTTGTTGATGAAATATTTCTGTTTTGTTTTCATGACAAATGATTTTTTGCGAACGAAAATTAAACAAAAACTTAACTTGTACTTTTATCAAAGACAAAATCCATCCATCCATTTTCAGCCGCTTATCCGGAGTCGGGTGGCGGGGGCAGCAACCTAAGCCGAGACGCTCAGACTTCTTCCTCCCCAGCTACTTAGGCCAGCTCTTCCGGGGGAATCCCAAGGCATTCCCTGGCCCGCCAAGAGAAACAGTTCTCCAGCGTGTCCTGGGTCTTCCCTTGGGTCTCCTCCCAGTTGGGCGTGCCAGGAAAACCTCACCTCGGAGGCATCCAGGAGGCATCCTGACCAGATGCCCGAGCCACCTCAACTGGCTCTTCTCGACATGGAGGAGAAGCAGTTCTTCTCCGAGCCCCTCTCGGATGACCAAGCTTTTCACCCCATCTCTAAGGGAGAGCCCAGCCACGGAGAAAACTCATTTCCGCCGCTTGTATCCGCGATCTCGTTCGTTCAGTCACTACCCAAAGCTCATAACCATAAGTGAGGGTATGAACGTAGATCGACCAGTAAATCGAGAGCTTTGCCTTCCGGCTCAGTTCTCTCTTTACCACTACAGATCGATACAATGCCCGCATCACTGCAGATGCAACACCAATCCGCCTATTGATCTCACGCTCCATTTTTCCCTCACTTGTGAACAAGACCCGAGATAATTGTTCCTCCTCAATCCGAGGTTCAACAATCCATCGGACCTTCCTCTCCAGAACCCCTGAATAGACCTTACCAGGGAGGCTCAGGAGTGTGATCCATTTGTGGTTGGAGCACACTCTGCGGTCCCCCTTTTTAAACAGGGGGACCACCACCCCAGTCTGCCAATCTAGTGGATCTGTCCCCGATGTCCACGAGATTTTGCTAAACCACGTCAGCCAACACAGCCCAACAACATCCAGAGCCTTAAGGAACTCCAGGCAGATCTTATCCACCCCTGAGGCCTTGCCACTGAGGAGTTTTTTGTCAGTGACCTGGGGCCCAGAGATTGGAGAGTCCAACTCCGAGTCGGACTCTTCTTTCTCACTGGAAGACATGCTGGTGGGATTGAGGAGGTCTTCGAAGTATTCCGTCCACCTATCCACAATGTCCTGAGTACAGGTCAACAGCACACCATCACCACTGTAAACAGAGTTGGTAGCACAATGTTGTCTCATCCTGAGACGCCGGATGGTTGACTAAAATCTCATTGAGGCCATCTATGGTCTCACCAAACTCCTCCCACCCCCGAGTTTTCCTCCGCGACCACCCAAGCCGCATTCTGCTTGGACTGCCAGCATCCATCAGCTGCCTCTGAAGTCCCCACAGGCCAAAAACTCTCAACAAGACTCTTTCTTCAGCTTGACAGCATCCCTAACCGCCGGTGTCCACCAGCAGGTTTGGGGGTTGCCGCCACGACAGGCACCGACAACCCCGTGGCCACAGCTCCGGTCAGCCGCCTAAACAATAGATGCACGGAACATGGCCCTCTCAGACTCAATGTCCCACACTTCCTTCAGGACATGTTTGAAGTTCTGTCAGAGGTGGGAATTGAAGCTCCTTCTGACAGGGGACTCCACCAGATGTTCCCAGCTGACCCTTACAATACGTTTGGGCCTGCCAGGTCTGACCGACTTCCTCCCCCACCGTCGGAGCCAACTCACCATCAGGTAGAGGCTAGTTGACAGCTCCGCCCCCCTCTTCACCCGAGTGTTCAAGACATGCAGCCGCAGAGTAGAAACGACAATGAAGTCAATCATTGAACTGTGACCTAAGGTTTATAGTAGGGATGAGCGAGTACACCACTATCTGTATCTGTACTCGGAATGGGCGTGGCATAACCCTGAAGTGGGCGTGGTTTAACCAGAAGTGGGTGTGGCTTACATCACTATATTATTTTAAGTCTGAAATTGATATGGATTGATCAGAAGTTGATGTGTGAGTGGTTTATTTGAATACTATTTACAGAGCAGCCTCAGAATAGAGATTAAATATTTTTGATCACAATAGTAAAGAAACTATTACAGAACAAGTGTTTGAATAAAATCAGAGCATTACTATTTAAGTGCATGGATTAATACATCTGAACTCATGCAGTAGGAACTAGGAAATATGAAATGCTAGAACCAGACACAACTTTATATATATTTTTTAATTTTAATTTGATTAAACTGATTTTTTTCTAAACGTTCTTGGCATTTTGCCCCACACAAAGTTAAACAAAACAATGTTGATTGAGGTGTGTGTGTGTGTTTGGTGAGGGAGAGAGGGAGAGAGGGGGAGTAAAAAAAAAAATAAAAAACCCGACCGGAGCGGAGGTAGAGACACAGCACGTCAGCTCTGTCTTGTGAAATGCACCATGTAAGTTACGAAAAAAGTAACTTTAAATATTCAACCGAAAAAGAGGCGAGCTGAGGAAAACCTGGGGAAAACTGAAGAAACGTGAGCAACAGTGAAGCAATCACAGCGAGATCCGTTACGGTCTGTGTGTGTGCGTGGATGAGCCGGACGGACTGCGCTCCCGGCCGGCTGCAGTTTTGTGTGTAGGGAGGGGCGGGTGCTCTATGTGACTGGCCAATCACAGAGCGTGAAGACAGTCAAGTTACCCAATCCTTCAGCACGATTACAGATATTTACGAGTTTTACTCGTTTCATGCTCGTATTCGTCAAAAATACTTTATCCGTACCGGATATTCGTCTGAAACGAGAACCCGGCTCATCCCTAGCATATAGACGCCTTTAGGCTAGAACATGGTGTTCATTATGGACAATCCATGACATGCACAGAAGTCCACTCCGATTCAGATCGGGGGGCACATTCCTCCCAACCACACCTCTCCAGGTCCCACGGTCATTGCCCACGAGCGTTAAAGTCCCCCAGCAGAACGAGGGAGTCACTTGAAGGGGCGCTCTCCAGCACCCGCTCCAAAGACTCCAAAAAGGTGGGTAGTCTGAGCTGCAGTTTGGTGCATAAGCACAGTCAGAACCCAGCCCCCCACACGAAGGCGGAGGGAGGCTACCCTCTGTTCACTGGAGTAAACCCCAAAAAGTATGCACACCCCTGCTCTGCGCCTCTCATTGGGAGCAACTCCAGAATGGTAGAAAGTCCAACCCCTTTAGAGGAAACTGGTTCCAATGCCAGAGCCACGCATTGAGGCGAGTCCAACTATATCTAGCCAGAACCTCTAAACCTCACCCATCAACTCCTGTTTCAGAAAGGTGACCCTACCAGAGGTATAAAGCCTCGGACAACTTAGCTCCTAGGATCACCGGGACACTCAAACCCCTCCATCCCAATAAGGTAGCAGCCCAGGGAGAGGCTGGGCAAAATTATGACGAATACTGATCCTCATTTTCACAAAAAAAATGACAGTAATGAAAATCTAATCAGAAAATGGAAAAGATGGGAGAACGGGAAAAATAACACTAGCAGCAAATGAAACAGGCGGGGCTACACAAGAAAAGAATCAGAGCCGAGAGCCTGTCGCTGTTTGAACATCTTGTCAGCGTTTGGTGTTCTAGCAGTGTTTCTGTGGAGTAAAAAACATTTAGAGAGCCCACTTTGGTAAGTTAGAGCAAGGAAAATCACCTGAAACCATTTCTTACCTTTACCTTAGTTCCTTGCATTATTAGAGTAACACCTTTTAATGTTTTGATGGTGTTATGTCATTTCTGTCATGTAAGCAAATATTACTACACATTATACAGATTTGTTTACTTTATTAATATTGAGAGAATTTCAAACAGTCAGTGTTGATTTAGGTATTTTCCATTAATTATAGTTATTAAAATAATTATAAATATAATGTTTTATTGATCCAAAATGTAAATTATTCATAATTTCTTTACAGTTTCAAGTAGATGCATTTAACATTCCCTTGACACAAGCTGAAAATTACCACATAAGAAAAATATAGATATATATTAGTTAACTAAAATAGGACTTAAACTAAAACAAATTGGACTAAAATTAAAATGAATTTTAGTCAAAAGACAAACTAAATTAAAATGTCTTGTCAAAACTAACACTGTTCAAACACACACATTGATGGGGTCAATACTTAGCAAACAAAAATAGCTACAACAGCGCCTCTCAAGATAAAAGTCACGAAAAGGTCATGAACAACATTTTTTTCAACATTTGACCAAAACAGCCATGACTCCATCATCAGTCAACACAAGATGAGCTCAGTTTAAAACTTTGATATGAAAGGTGTTGGCAGCATAGATATAGACCTTTAGTTATAGCATGCTGAGTCACATCACAGAGTACCTACGTATCTTACATGTTTTATATTAAAGAAATAAAGGAGATGTAACCCTTTGCAGTTGAAAAAGAGAAGGGCAGGGCAATGTGGCTGCAACAAAAAGTCATGCATGGTCAGCGGTGGCTGGAGGAGGTGAATAATAAAGTTAGCGGTAACAAAAGAAGTGCAGCAGCAGCTAAATGTTGGGATATCTCTCCAGCTGACAACGGGACTGAAACTGGTCACAAATACGAGCGTAGCTTTAATTTAGCAACACAATCTCACAAGTACCTCCAAAGTCATCGCGCTGTTTAAACATTGGAAGCACTGACTGCAAAGTGTGATGACATCATGGGCGCATGAGTAACCATGACTCATCAAAACACTACAAGTGATTAATGAAAATTAAATAAGGCCAGAAGTGAGCAAGCACTTCGCCATCACTGCTGCCTCAGGTCCAATTATCAAAGATCGTCCTGTATTAGAATTAACTCTTTTTTAAATTAAATTACTCGGTAGTTTAAGGTAATGTAAGGTCCATATCAAAACCTGAGAATGTTCTTTTATTTCATCAAAACGATATCCGCTCATCAGGGAGCTGTGGAAAGTTGCTGTGTCATTCTGCTTTTGAAGAGCTCGTCTCACACCTAAAAGTTTAGGGATAGGATTATTTATCTGAGCAGAACGTGAGTTGGACCAGTGACTGCATTGCACTGTTGGGATTAATAAGGAAACACAATTAAAACAGTCACCGACGGAACAACACTGACGTGATGGAGAGTAAGGTGGCTTACTTTGAAACAAATTTGTAAACAGAGTCATCCAAAAAACTAAAAGTCATTGACTGTTCAACCTGAAACTCAAAAATCTAACGTTTATTTCTGTCCATGAACACCAATGCAAAGTAGCATAAAAAGGTCGAATAATTTTCTGGTCCAAAACACGCCATTAAGCAGTGACTCAGCAGTAACATACAGTATGTTTCATGTGGAAGTTTTTATTCACAAAATCTTCATTTTCAAACAAAAACTGTATTATGTTAATATGAGTGTATTGGCCCTCAAAACCTGACAGTGAATCTTTATTTATTAACTGTTTTAATGAAAGAAAGAAAAGGACATTTTATATAGCGCCTCTCAAGATAAAAGTCATGAGGCGCTTCACAAAAATAAAATACTTAAAATATTTTTAAAAAATTGTTTTTAAATTATTTAAAAATATGTGATTAAAAAATTGTGATTAAAAAATGTAAGGAAAGGAAGAGAGAAAATGAATAGGAAAGCCGGGAAAAGCGGAAAAGAAAGAGCAGGATAGGGACAGGGTGCTGATGAAGGTCATGCAAAAGCCAGCTGAACAGGTAAGTTTTCAGCTGCTTTTTAAAGGAGACCACCGAGTCCACTCACTCATTCATTCTTCAAACATGAAAGATAATCATGTTTCTGATTCTTGTACGGGTCTGACAAGCCAGTACCAATATTGAACGATTCAGATTTATTCCCAATATTATTTTTAAAAAGCAAGTCACTCCCTCTTACTCAACTCCCACTTCCTGTTTGAAAAATGCAACAACTGCTGTTGCCTAGCAGATCGAGAGGGCGGAGCCACTAACGAATACACACTCACGACATTGTGGCATCATAATGTACCATCTAACATCATAGTGTACCTCTTAGCCAATAGCGATGGCAGATTTAAATTCAAATGCAGTGCTGAGTTTTTACCTGACGACGGTGCATCGCTGCAGTTTTAGGCAGATTATTTAAATTTTAACTAAGATTAACTAAAGTGCCAAATTATTGACTACAATTGTCTACAGAGCAATTAGACACTCATTTATATAGTTTATCAACAAAAAAAGTTGATTTGAGGGTGACTTGCTCTTTAAATTCCTGATCACCTTGTAGATGACGAAGAAAAAAATATCCAGATGGAAGAAGATCTGAGTTAGCAGTTCGCCATGGTGATTTCTCAGACCAGGAAAACATTTGTTTTTAATTGAAGCTTGCTGCTGGTTTTAACTTTGCAAGCAGATTATCACAATACATCATATGTTTGTCTAAATTTGTTATTATTACAGTTTCACTAAATAAATGGCCAATGTAAAGCATGATTGGTCTGATCAGCAATCTCCCAATAGTCTGATCATTTATTTATTTATTGGGTGTATAACATGATAAAACAAACACACCCTCAGTATTTCTGCATATATGGCCTAATGAAGTGTTTATGTTAGTGACACGTTTGTCATAAAAATCCGCATAAACCACGACTCGGGCACTTAAAGTAAGACTTTCTCCTCCTGCCAGGTGAATTACTTTATGCGTCATTTTCTAATTAACGTGAAACTGTGCTTGTATTGCATTATGTAAGCCATGACACTGCGCTTATGCTTCTCTCTGCCTAAAACATTAAAGCTGGCGTGTTTTATAAACAGCGGGGAAAACGAGCTGACGGTGGGAGTTGTGCTGGTTCGGTGTGGCCGGAGCTTCTCCCTCACCGACAGCCTGCACGGCCGCGCCCTGTGCTCGTCTACTCCCCGGAGATTAAACACTCAGTAAATACAGACCGGGTCATTAAAACCGCATTAGCAGTGGGACAATGGAGCACGAACAGGAGGGGTTGTCCTACCTCGGCTATGCTTCCAGAAACAGAGTTTTTAGGGGTTTTTTTCTTCTCCACACCCCTCCGAGGACACCTCCACCTCCAGGTCTGGCGCTGCCGGTGTGTCACCCTCCTCTCTCCTCCATGGGGACGGGTCGCGGGGCCGAGCTCCCCCCTCACACCCACCCGAACACAAACCCCCCTCCTCCGCCCGAGCTGCCGCCGCTGCCGCTGCTGTCTCGAGGGCTTCGGAAGGAGAGAGTCCAGCCGGCCGCGGTTTGAATCAAACGTAGCGGTCAAAATGGCTCTGTTGTCTCCCTCTGACAAGGATGCTCGAGCTCCGCTGAGTCGGTGACGTCACCGCCAAGGGAGGAGGCAGCGTCGATGCAGCAGGGAGGAGAGAGACAGCTAGGGGAGGGAGGGGGAGGAGGATTAAAAGCTGTAAAATTAAATAATCCTCATATTTATATAAGACAGTAAACTGGCTCATCTAGAAACCTGTAGCTTTAACTGGGACGCAGGAGCGTGAGAAGACAGTTTGGGCCCTCTTGGAACATAAACATGGAATTATTACTCTGAACGACCTGTTAAGAGAAATAGTAAAAAAAAATAAAATAAAGGTGGGTGATTGACTGGAATCGAACAATATTTAGCTAAACTCACATGCTGACAACTCTCTGTCACGTTTCAGGGATGTTTAGGACCCAAATATGCAGAAACCCAGGATGACACGAGGCAGGAGATGATGTAAAGTAACATCCTTTCTTTTTGAAGGATGAAACGAAGAATAAATGTCCAAAATCCAAAATAAACCAGAGATCCAACTGAGACACGAGAAACACTAGAGACTAGGAACGAGAGACTGACAGAATTACCACAATGGACCGACACCAAACAGAAACAAGACAGGGCTTAAATACACAGGGAGAACAATTAAGGAAACAGGAAGCAGGTGTGTGGAGTGAGGGCTGGAGGGAAGGCAGGTGACACAAATTATCTAAATGGGGAAACGGAACCAATGGAGGGCAGATAAACCTAAAACTAAAACCAAACCTAAGACTGAGGGAAGGACTCACACACACACAAACACATACTGACACACACAAACTCATACACACATACCATGAACTGGGGAATGGACACGCACACACACACACACACACACACACACACACACTGAGCTGGGGACAAAGAGGCTGGAGCTACAGAATGTGAAGACCCGGAGGGCTGGGGATGAATGAATGACACAGGACATGGGAGAAATTGACTTTAAAGCCTACAACATAAGACACCTAACTGAGACGCAGACAAAGGACACATGAGGGCGCTAGGAGACACAAAACGGAATCTAGAGAGGGATGGAGAACACCAGGAGGCACATGAAGGAAGGGGCAGACGCAGACCGTGACACTCTCACGCTCCAGGCTAAGATTTTGTAGTGCCACAGATGTCCCAGGAGAGGGGAGGAGTCCAAGACCCTGCCTGACAGCAGAGGTGGAAAGAGTACTAAAATGTCCTACTTAAGTACGAGTACCAATACTTTGATAATTTTTTTACTCAAGTACAAGTGAAAGTACTTGTCTAAAGTTTTACTCAAGTAAGAGTAAAAAGTATCGTAAATAAAATGTACTCGAAGTGAAAGTTAGTTACATTTTTGTTGGCATGAAGATGGTTACATCAGTGCAGAACCACAACACCAGTTCACAACATGCTCGTGTGTGCGCGCGCACACACACACACACAGTTTGATGGAGGGATTTCTATCCAGTCAGTGAGAACAGGACGTGCACATTGATTGGACGAGGTTTTTCTAGGCTTGTACGTTTCAACTGTGATTAAAATTTTTCTTTAGTTAGAAAAAAGAAAAAAAGTTCATTTTTAGATGCCATCAGCATGTGAGGGATCTCAATGCTCTCATGAAAAACTCTAACATGAGACTGTGCTCTAACCTGTCACATAACAAGCTAAATTCAAACATTTCGGATGGGCCGTATGACAGCTGCTAACGTTGGCCCTGCCCTGCTTTACCTCTACATTACAGTTCCTTTATCCATGTCCATCCTAGAGCTCCTCTCTGACCTTTAAAGTTAGCAGAGTTCATCCTTGGTAATGGGTTATTTATTTAGCACATTCATTGAGCAGTTACATTTGTTGTATTCTTTCAAATTTCACAACGTTACAACAACAATGCTCACATGGAGTAGGCTGAAGCAAAGAAGCTTATGTGCACCTACCCCACATTACAATATTCACTCACTCATTTAACCCTTCACCACTGAAATCAGTTTGTTCATCCCAATCCTCCTAAATGATCCTCCAACCATCCAACTGGAATCCTTAAGGGTCCCGTAACGTCCATCCTGTCAGAACAGGCCTTGGGAGCCCAGGAGTTACTAGAACTAATGGTGTCTCCTCACCAGCGTGAGCCTCCAAACTGTGAAGGTTGGTCTCCAAACATGAACTTTATATTCATGCATTTATCTCCTCTTGTAACACTTTAATATGTTTTAAAAGGCTTGTATCATGATAAGTTACACCTCCCAGACCAAAGATAGGTCCAATATAAGATAAAACATTATCATAAATACTGTAGAAACGTCATTATGTATGAAATATAAGTTATTTTCCTGAGCTGTTACTTCAGCCAAGATATAGGATGCATGGATTTGATGAAACCATGCTGTCTCATGCAGTCCTATGTGTGTAACACACACACACACACAATCTTTTGAATGACTAATTTAACTACACTGAACTGCTTTAGTAATAATTTAATCTCTTATTCTGGAGTAAAATAAAGAAACAAGCTAAATCATCACATATCTGTGGCATCAAGAAGCCTCTTCTGAGTTCAAACACAGGGATGGAGCACCATGTTCACACCTGAACAGTATCAGGATGTTTTAACTCTCAGAGGCCTGCAGGTCTTCTGTTTTATGAGCAAAGCGCTGATAATCCGCTTGTTATGAGCTCTAAACGTTATTTTGCCGCTGCCGTGCGGAGCGGTAGAGAAACACGTTTCAAACACGGAACCGAGTCCGGCTACCGAACCGAGCAGAATTCTGATGACGTCACACCGGTGCGCGAAGGTGCGGGTTCCAACCCACAGGAGAGGAGGGAGAGAGGAGGTAAACAGTGAGTGGATCACAGGGACTGAACTGATGTTTTAGAGCAGAAGTGTACACCCCCACACCCCCCACGGTTTAGACGCGGCGCTCATGCAGGTGTCTCTTTCTGTTCCAATGATGCTACACGCAATATTTTTAATTTATCAAGCCTATGATTTATTTTTACTCAGTGACGGATATGATTTAAAATGTAGCAAATTACAATTCTTTTTTAAAAACGTACTCAAATAAAAGTAAAAGTACAGATTTTAAAAACGACTCAAAAAGTATAAATATACAAAAAACCTACTCAATTACAGTAACATGAGAAAATGTAATTCATTACTTTCCACCTCTGCCTGACAGATACAGTCACACACAAACACAGTCACACACTTCCACTCTTAAGCTCACACACAAACGCACACAACCTAAAGACACACAAGAATGCACCCACCCATACCCCCATACACACCCTACACACACTGGTCCGGGTATACTGTACAGAGATGGCACAACCATTCCCGAACACTTAGAGATGGTCCTGTACTTACAGTGAGCAGGCAACACCGCCCAACACAGAGCAAAGCAACCCACCAGGCCCCATCCAGAAGGCCAGCTCCCACTATTAGCCTCTTAGCCATTTGAACCCCCATCTCCCAGTCCCAGGGCGGACACTCTACCACTAGGCCACTGAGAAGGTTAGTTCAGTAAACACATTTCTAAGTACTTTGTACTACTTTTTCATAGTTACAGTAACTTGTATTTGTATTAAATTTATTTTGTAATTATTAGTATCTCCAACCAACACTTTCTCACACCCTAAGCGTCGGAAACAAACGCTTGGTCAGCCACCCTCCACGTCAGACCCCAGACGCCAAAAGTGCCCTTTTTCGTTACTTATGTGCGAAAAGGGGTTTTTCCCTTATTTGACTGCAGATCCCAATGCAGCGTTACACTGACGTGATTAGATATCCGCAGATGCGGCACCGAACCAGCTCGTTTAACCGCACCTAAACCTTAACGTTTCACTATTTATAACCTTCCCCTCTCCCTCATCCTAACCTTAACCCTCTTGCTACCTAAAACGTTACTCTCACTGTGATCAAGCGTTTGGTTCCCGTGTATTCTGGCTCTGACAGTCAGACTGTCAATTTTCGTATTTGCCGCCCAAGGGGAACGTTAGAACATACCATCTGGCGAGGGGGAGGTTACAAGTACCCTCTACTTTTAACCTCCACCGTGGTAGTTGAAACCTCCCCCTCGCGTTGGCTCGGTCCAAACTCGACCAATCACGAGGCGGCTCCCGCCGTTCACTTCATAGAGCCGTCTTTTAGAGCGATCGACACATCACTAACGTGTTCGCCAGCAAGACGGTTAAGGTTAGGATAGGGGTGAGGGGAAGGTTAAATAAGAGGATAAGGTTAAGGTGAGGTACAATGAGCTTGTTTGGTGCCCTGGCTGCGGACATCCCATCGCGTCAGTTTTACGCTGCATTGGGATCTGCAGTCAAATAAGGGAAAAAAAACCTTTTCGCACATAAGTAACGAAAAAGGGCACTTTTGGCGTCAGGGGTCTGATATAGAGGGTGGCTGACCAAGCGTTTGTTTTTGACGCGCTGGGAGTGAGAACGTTTACCTCCAACACATATTTATTCAGTCCAGTTTACTTATAATTTCAAGTGTAAATGATTTGCATGCATTTTTTCGATCAAACATTATCACACATGTCTGTGAAGCTCTGGGATGTCTGTTGAGGTGAGAGGACAAGGACAAATTACACCAATGTCCTCTTGTGAAAATGGTCTGCACACTACAAGACCAATAATGGATTAGTGAGTATAGAGATTTGCTGCTGGATCAGTACATGTTCTTTACATGATCATTTAACTTTAAACAAAAGCTGCTCCATTAAAGAACATCCTTTGATGCTCTCTCTCTAACAGCTTGTGTTCGATCTGTTTCACCGATGAACAAGAATGAAATGTTGCAAAAAGGTTTGGAAGCGATAAATTCTGGTGAAGAGGAGTGATCTCTGGTGGTAGGATGCACTGGCCGATCAGGTTTCAGCCGGAGTGAAACACAATGCAGCTGAGTTGGTGATCTCGCTCTTTACACAGACAACCACTCCTAGCTCTGCTCCTGTGTCTCTCAAACACATTTAGATCACATGTAAAACCTCCCTGTGTCCTCACACCTTATTGGTGCAAAACGTGCATTCACATGTTATGAAATTTAAAGCTCTCATTGATGCACAGAGAAAACAAACCTCTCAAAATGTCTACCGGTAATTAAAAAATAACGGCTGCACTTATAACTTGTGAATAATTCTACAGTAAATGAGAGAAATCTAAACATTTCCTCCAGCGAGGAAAGAAAACATCTTTAGGGATCTTGTGTTTAGGAAAGGAGGATGCAGAGGCCTTGTTGCTCTGCTCTGCAAGTCTAAATTCAGCGGTAACAGAACCGTGAATAATTTATTGGTTGAATGAGCTGTTGTCTTGATCATTGAGTGACGGACATGTTTTCTTACGCTCTTGGTGTTTATCTGTCAGTGGGCAGGGATCAAATTCCCACCTTCAAAATAAATTATATTACATGGAAAAGAAATAAAGCCCAAACTTTAAAAACTACACTTCTAAAACCACATATAGTAGATCTAACGGTGCAGCTTACACTACTGTGGTGGGGGCTGAGGGCTCACAATCTGAATGAGAGCTGAGTCAAAAGAAATGCAAGAAGCTGAGGGATGTGAGAGGAAGTGAAAAGATCTGGCTACCTCTGCTTTTAGTCACATTAGCGTTAACGTGATTTATATCTGGAGCCTATATGGTTGGGATAGAAAATGTGATTGTCTATCACTTCCATGTTTTCTCATTTTTAAAAGTCACTATGATACAAGGCAAAACCGGGAAATGTAAGGCCTTATTTCAGTCCAAATCTGTATGTTTTAGTGTATCCGTGCTTCAGTGGCTGACGTACTTGTTCAGTCTGCATCCTACAGAAGTCTGTTGGTCACCCATCAATCAGCACTGAAGCATTCCGGAACTGCGCTGCTCTGGGTGGCTGCATGTTGGAGTAGCTCTGTTGACTATTTGTAAGTTTTGCCTTTTCTTGGACATTTTTTCTTCTAGTTTCTCAAGAAAACTGTACTTTTTGGACACTTTACTTTTCTGTTTCTGGTGCTGTGAAGCTTGGAGGATTTTTACTGCCATTTTTTTTTAGCTTTTTTCACTTTTTGAGCATTTGTTATGATGCATAACCATGGCAACAAGCTGGTTTACAATCGGGAGCAGCTGACTAACATCGGAAAGGCTGAAATAATACCTCAACTGAAGCCACAAATCCCAAATGAGCTAAAATGCAAGAAGCGTGGGTGCAGAGCGGGAGCAAAACGGAGACAGAGAAAGAGGAAATTCAAACCATCTCTTCCATCGATCGTAATGGGCAACGTGAGATCACTGGCCAAGATGAAGGAACTCCAAGCCCTTTCAAGGACTCGGCAAGAGTTTCGGCAGTTTCGGAACCGCTGGAGGAGATAATGCAAAGAAGGATTCTCCAGAGAATCAAGAAAATGATGGACAACCCTGAGCATTCTCTTCACAAGACTGTCCGACAACGGAAGAGTGTCTTCAGTCAGAGGCTTCTTCAGTTTGGCTGCAACACTGACCGCTACTGGAGATCCTTCCTGCCAACAGCCGTTGTAATATACAACAACTCTTTGATGACTGTCAGGAACCGAGTTCAGAAGACCCGTGAAGACACCAACACAGTAAAAATATATTAAAAAGTCTTTATTTAATGCAGAGGTACCTGGAGGGCAAGGCTGAGGCAGGTTCAGAGGCAGGCTAAGGTCAAAGTGGCAGGCAGAGAGCAAGGCAGGGGTAAGGCAAAAAACAAGGTCCAGAGGCAAAGATCAGGCAGGGTGGATGGCTGGAGAACTACTGGCAAGGCTGTAATAATCTGGCATCGGTTGACTGGATGGCTGGTTCTTTATAGCAGGGGAAGCAGGTGAATGGGATGAGGCTGATTACAGGAGCAGGTGGAATGAATGGAGCTGATTGAAGCTGACAGAGGTTGCTGGGGAAAGCAGGGCTTGGCTGGAACTTGGTGAGAGGAACCAGGTGAGCTGAATGAAGGTATAATGAGGAAGTGGAGGAGGGTGAAGGATGGGAGTCATGACAATGACTTGATCATTATTATTATTCTGAGCTACTACAGCAATCAATTTCCCTCTGGGATTAATAAAGTATTTTTGAATTGAATTGAATAATAACATCTAAAGTAGGAGTGTTAAATTTAAAGTCACAAGGGAGGGACGACTCAAAACACCTTTAAAAAGCCTTTCGTCACAACATTACAATACTGAACCTGTAAAACCGAAACTTAAAGGGTTGGTTACATCATAGGTGGAGTCTTACTTCACTCACACTTCCTGTTAGAAAAAGTGTGCCTAAAGGAGGCATCACCTAGCGGATCGAGAGAGTGGCTGCGAGGCAGTGATAGACAGCACCTCCTTCAATCCTCCAACGCGGACTTGGAGTTTCACAGTCGGAAAAACATGTCCTTATCAAGAGCACGCATTTGCACGTGGACACGAGCACGCACACCGCAGACTCACATGCACAAGTAAAACATATTAAAGTTGTACTTACAAGCGAAACAGGGTGATCGTTAGGTCCGCATCCAGTTTTTTAGCTTTATCAGATGAAGGTCTTTGTCTCTGCTGAGGCTTCATCATGATGAACATGTTACAATAAATGCTAACCAGTTATAGCTCGTTACTGCCTCACGCAAGATACGGTAATTCAAAGAAGCGGTCCAGATACTCTTAAGTTGCAAGTGTGGTATTCTGGCCACAAGAGGAGATGAGTGACTTTCATTAAAGTGTCATGTTAGCACATATTAGCTCAAGAAAATGATGCAAAAATCTGAAAAAGTGCCCCTTTAATTGAAAAGTAAGTTTGTGTGTTTCGACTATGTCACGTAATGGGAGATCCGTTTGCTGTAAAGTTTCTTAATTTAAAGAGCAAGTCACCCCCTACAAGAAACTTACTTCACTCCCTCTTCATGTGTGAAAAATGCAACAAATGCTGTTGCCTGGCAGACCGAGAGGGCGGAGCCGCTAACAAATACACACACACACAGGCTCACAATGGCATTATGACATCATAATATACCAGATGACATCATAGCATACCTCTTAGCCAATAGCGGTGGCAGATTTAAATTCAAATACAGTGCAGAATTTTTCCCTGACGACGGCGCAACACTAACAGTTTTAGGCAGAATATTTGAATTTTAACCAAGATGCACTGAACTGCCAAATTATTGAGGACATGTGTCTGCAGCACGATTAGACACTCCTTTATATAGTTTATCAGGAAAAAAATGTGATTTGGGGGTGACTTGCTCTTTAAAAGAATACATATCCAATGTTGCATTTATGATGTCACCCCAGAATCGCTTCTTATCCAGCATAGCCGCTACTTACCACTGGCCAAATTTATAGTGGTTTTTGTATTTACATGTACTGTTATTATTATTTTCTTCTTCCTTTCCTCTAAGTGTTAGTGCTGCTGTAACCAGTGAATTTCCCCACTGTGGGATTAACAAAGTCTATTCTATTCTTTATTTTTAATGCTACTGCTTTTGTCCTGGATGAAGCATATGAATTAGGGATGTTCGACATTATCGGTCTACAAATAATAATCAGCCGATGGGCATTAACATTTAATACCGGGAAATAGCAGTATCAGTTTTCATTCATTTAATGACACAGCGTTTACATACCATACACATATTATACATGACACGCTTCAGCTACTTCTCCTCTCTGTAAAAATGCCTCAAACTAGTACAGATCTGAGGTTTAGATTTTGAGATATTTTAGTTTTTTTGTCAAAACTTGTGAAGTAGAAATTTGCCCTGTGTGGTGAATGTACACTGTCCTCACAGCAGGTAGCTTACGCTTAGCTAAACGGCTAACAAACGACTTTTCTTATCTGAAGATCTTTATAAATGTTTTATCACCATAAATGTAATATACAGAAAAATAAAAAAATGCATTACTAACTACTAAACACGTCATAGCATCACACTGGGGGAGAGTGACATGCAGCTACTGTTGCAGCTCCTTTCTTTCCCTTCCAAGTGCAAAAGCATCTGGCTGCAGACATCAGCTGGCATCTTTGCCGTGACAGGAAATGACGTATCCGGAAAAACAAGTGTCATTACCTTCGCCGGAAGTCATTACCTTTGCCGGAAGTAGTTTTTTTTCGGGTCATTACCTTTGCCGGAAGTAGTTTTTTTTTCTTGAATACGCTTTATTGACAAAGCACAAAAGTAGTTTGGATTTGTCAAAACCATACCGTGTCGTTTTTCTCTTCGATTTGTACACATTTAAGAGAAAAATTACATGGTGGTTCATTACCTTAACCAGAAGTCATTACTTTCACTGGAAGTAGTTTTTTAAAAAACAAAATTTACCGGAAAAAGCTTTTAATTTCGGATTTTTTTTCTCTTCATATCTGGACTGGCAAACTTAAGTAACGTTGTAACCTGCGTTGCATGAAAATTGAATATTAAATCCCTTTGTTCTTCAGACAGGGAATTTTTATGACAGTAGCACATACATACATACATATATATATATATATATATATATATATATATATATATATATATATATATATGTATATATACACACACACAATAAAAGGCTGTAAAGTGAATTAAAAAAAAACATATGGATAAAATGAGAACACGTTAAACTAAGACTTTTCAAAATGTGCAAACAAAATAGTACTGGCTAAATATTCAGTTTTATTGTTAAGCCCAAGATGAACTTTTGACCTACACCAATTGCTAAAGTACAGGACTCCCAGAAGCAGTGAAAAACATTTCAGCAACACTCACCAGCAACAAAAATTAGTTATTAAATATCCATAACACTGTCCTATTGTGTATCACAGCAGCTCATTGCAACAGAATTTAACTACTACAGCTGATAACTATTTAGCTAGTTGGTATTTATTTTGAGTGAAAGACAATAAAACCAAAGAAACACTTGATTTCACAACCATTTTATTTTGGGTACAAATGAATTTGCTGAAGCATGGCTTTCTCAGCTGCATATCGATTCATCCCCTCCCATTTTTCCAACACTTTTATTGTTACCTGAAAAACATGCAGGATTACTTCAACGTCGTCGTCTTCCTCTGCTTATCCGGGTCCGGGTCGCGGAGGCAGCATCCCAACTAGGGAGCTCCAGACCGTCCTCTCCCCGGCCACCTCCACCAGCTCCTCCGGCAGGACCCCAAGGCATTCCCGGACCAGACTGGAGATGTAACCTCTCCAACGTGTCCTGGGTCGACCCGGGGGCCTCCTGCCAGCAGGACATGCCCGAAACACCTCCCCGGGGAGGCGTCCAGGAGGCATCCTGACCAGATGCCCAAACCACCTCAACTAGCTCCTTTCGATCCAGAGGAGCAGCAGTTCTACTCCGAGTCCCTCCCGGATGTCCGAGCTCCTCACCCTATCTCTAAGGCTGAGCCCGGCCACCCTACGGAGGAAACTCATTTTGGCCGCTTGTATCCACGATCTCGTTCTTTCGGTCGTTACCCAAAGCTCATGACCATAGGTGAGGATTGGGACGTAGATCGACCGGTAAATTGAGAGCCTGGCTTTCCGGCTCAGCTCCCTCTTCACCACGACAGATTGGTTCAGCGTCCGCATCACTGCAGATGCTGAACCAATCCGCCTGTCGATCTCCCGATCCCTCCTACCGTCACTCGTGAACAAGACCCCGAGATACTTAAACTCCTCCACTTGAGGTAGGACCTCTCCCCCGACCCGGAGTTGGCAAGCCACCCTTTTCCGGTCGAGAACCATGGTCTCAGATTTGGAGGTGCTGATCCTCATCCCAGCCGCTTCACATTCGGCCGCGAACCTACCCAGCAAGAGCTGAAGGTCAGAGCTGGATGAAGCTAGGAGGACCACATCATCCGCAAAAAGCAGAGACGAGATTCTCCTGCCACCAAACTCTGTTAAGGATTACTTCATACACTGTCAAATGTTTTCGAAAAGTAACTTTTATACCAATCACTGCTGAAGACTGCGTTGTACCTCTGGAACAAGGACATCAAACACCAAGTCCAGAAACTGGAACTCTCTCTTCTTTATTAGTTTATCTATTCCTGAGCATGAACCAATCCGCTCTGTCAGCTCGTCAACCTATAGAACACGTTAACATAATAATGAACAAAACGTTCCTCTCAGCATTAGACAACGGACCCAGGTGGCCCACTGACCATGCATCCACATAAATAAATGTGATGCAGCTTATTGTAAGTCAGTATACATTTACCTGTGCATCAGCAAAGTGGAACATCAGTGGCTTTAGTCTTTGCTTTAATTTAAGCGAGACACCTGGATTGTGCCACAGATACATGAGGCCAGACTTCACTCCACCGCTGCAGAGATCCTTATACACAGTCTGAGTAGAGACAAGAGTTAAAAATAAGCAACATTACCACAGTTAACAAGAGATTGCATTATCCTATGTCCAATTTTAGAGTCTTAATTTATTATAATTAAACATTACCTTGATTTCACCATCTGAAATCACTGCCTGGGTTCCATTTTTCAAAGCCTCGATTGTCCTGTAATTTAGATAAAAATACATCTTATTAGCAAATGAAGAATACAAGCACATGTAAGGAGTTTTGTCAGTGTCACTTGAAGAAGTCTGATATTCATTTTAGATCTATATTTAAGGCCTGTAACTCCTGAATGATTTGCAGCTACATGTGCTTAAATCCGGTAATATTAATATAAACCAAACCCGATCAAAGCAGTCAGTCGACAAAAATATCTATTTTTTATAAGGATAGGATTATTCTGAAACAGAATCAGAAGGAGGGCGGCATTAATTAGAGAAGCGGCTACTATTTCAAAGTTATTGTACCTGTTGCAGGACACATGATTTGTGCAACCGTAGAAAGACATCGCCTCAGTAGAATGACCCAGCACACCACACACAATAACTGAAAAATATTTAGAGATATTGAAAGCTAAGCTTGTCCAGAAAATACATTTTATTTCTGGGTGCACAGGACCAGTTCCAGTGTGGGCCAGATGCTGAAAAATAAATTCATAAATCTGTCTTTTTTGAAGTTTCACAAACCAGAGGAAGGTTTCACAAATCACAAACTATGTTTTATGCATTCCTACGAGCCCAGAATAATCTAAAACAGGTTTGAAGAGTGTATGTATCGTAGGTTTTGAGCTAGAGCAGAATAAAAATGGTCAGAGTAGAGAAAAATTGGGTGTATTAGCCCTTTAGCCATTTCCCGAATCGGAAGCTAACTTTAGCCTCATATGAAAACTAGTGATTGAAACCACTTACAAATCTCTGAAAATCTACGCTTTTTAATTAAAAAAGGGTATTAATAACGTTTCAGTCAAGTCAGTATTAAAAATCGTGGTCTTTATATCATATCTAAATTATATATAAAGTTAATATTATTACTTTAACTGTTTTAACAAACAGGGAGACCAGAAAAATCAAAAAACTAAGTTAAAGCTTAGCTACAATTGCTGATAGCTTTATTTATGTAGCTTTTGTGTTAGCTAGCTTGTGATCTCCCTGCATTCGTTTTAAGACTGCGTGTTAATATTGACACAATTAGCTATGAAACACGGTGCCTTTGCAATAATTCTCTGGTAAAGCTTTAAAGGCTACAGTGCCTACATTTAAGAACTAAGAACGGTTGCAACAATTAGTTAATTTCATCCTTATCCTTACCTTTCCTCAATTGAAACCCGCCGAGTATGGTTGAAACAAAAACAACGTAGCAGCCGCCAAAAAAGACCAACTTCCTGCCGAGGTCTTTCGCTCGTCGATTTTCCGGTAAAAGTAATGACACGCCATCTTGCTCTCGACACACCAGCTGATGTCTGCAGCCAGGTCCTACTCTCCAAGTGGGGGAAACAAGCTTCCGGTTTGATCATGATCACCATCATGTGATCATGCGTGGAAATCGCGCCCCCTGGTGGATTGTGCAGGAAAACACAGGGATGAGAACAACCAATTAAATCTGACTGTCCTGTTCAATTTAACTGTGTCTGTGTTTATGTATTATGTATTATTGCACCTCCTCAGTTTTATGCTAGTTATTCCAGAGGAAGATTTATATGTAGCTATGAGTATTTTCATATTGTCTTCAACTTACACCGACGTACAACATATAAACAACCAGTTTACAGAGAGAAACTCAGAGACAAAAGTCTTTGCTTCTATTGAAGGAGAACAGTTTATTGTTCAGTTTAGTGACATTTAACTCATAACCTCAGTCTCAACATAAACACAAGACAAAGGGTGGAAACCTTCTCGTGACAGAGGTGTTTGGTACACTAGGTAGATAACTTGTTACTGACATTTCACCGTAATGTGATTTCCACTGCACCGACCTTTTGCACAGCAGCCATCTCAGCATTTACAACAATTTACATCCTTCACAGCCAAAGGGGATGATGAGCATTGTCTCTGTAGGTCAGGATAAGAGGGAAATAAACATGGAAGTCCACAAATTAGAACAGGAAATGAAACACACTAGTGTTGAAAGACTTTGTGAGATTACATAATGTTCTGTTCATATTGCTCAGATAACTAAATCAGAGTGCTCACTGTTAAATGTCATCATTTACACAAAAAAGGCTGTTTTCTGTAAAATCATCAGGAAAAAGCGATGTTTGAATTACACATATGAATATTGTTTGTCTAAAACAAGATCACACGTTTGAATTAGCCTTATTGCTAATACTGACAAACCAGTAAAGCAGCTTCAATGCCACTAAAGCGCATTTTATTTACCTAGAAATTAAAAAAAATTAACAATGAATATTATGAACTAATTTCAATACAAATTTAGAATAAATGACTTTGTTGTCATTTATGTAATCCCTTTTGTGTTTTTCAGCCCGCCAGACGTCAGGCCCATTGCACACCTGTTCTACCCACACACCTGCTGTCCAGCACCTACACTGATGTTAGCACTTGTTTGTTATGTTTCTGAGTCTGGCCTACTTTTGAATCTTGAATAAGAACCAAAAAAAAAAAAAAAAAAAAAAAAGGAACCAAGAACGGTTCATCCTGTTTTTCCATATTTTCCACAGAACTATTTTTCAATTTTACTTTATTTCACATTTGATGCGATTGCTTTATATTTGCAATATGTTAAAACACAGGTGTGCCTTTTATGTTGTGACCACATGATTTGTCTAACTGCTCCCTTATTTATTCAATATTCAAATCTCTATTATTTGTCTTATTTCAAAATTTGTCTACTGTGATTCTAGCAGAGAGTCGGTGAAGTCATTTTAATTGTGATAACGCTAAACTTTGATGCTGCTCCTAAACTGGAGGCTGCATCTGCGCCTCGGGGGACTGAGGACCCAAGAGCGGTATGTTATGGAATTCCCATTTTAGGTAGACAGATGGTTTGCACGCTGAATTTAGCAAAAAGAGACCATATTAGGAGACAACTTTTCAGTTATGTTAAAATTTCAACTGATATTTATTTTTTCATTGAAAATAAATCATAAAATTTCTGTACTTTTCACTGATTTGCAAAATAGTGATGAAGAATTGTTATTTACGATTTTGAAATGTTATTGAGGAAACTAGATTAAAGAAAATCTGAAAACAGTTAGCAGCTGTTTTTTGGTAAAGTTGCTGTTAGAAATATGTTCTTTGAAGAGTTTAAGTGCTGAGATGCTGACTGGAGGGAAATTCAAAATTTGAGTTATTCAAATATACAAGTTAGTGTGTAAAAATGATACCAAACAGGAAAGCCAAGCACCAAAGAAAACATCTAAAGAGAAATTCAGATCTGATGAAATGCGTGTGTTTGTTTTTGTCCATGGCAGAAATGTAATCTCTGTGCATTCAGTCCAGAAACAGGCTGAGGACACTTTGGCCTAGCGTTAGTCTAAAGCACCCTCAGACATCTTTATCGCTTTTCTTGTTGTTGTTGTTTTTTACAGAATCTTCAAACCTCACCACGTCTTAATGGGGTGAATTTTGTAAAATTATACATTCAAAATTTTACATGTATATTTGACCACATTTAGCTTAAATTTCTATTTAAAATATAATAAATACATTTACTCCTAAATGTTGAAATCCAAACACAAAGGTTGTCGTTTCGAACTATTTATCAAACTTGTAAATTCGGAGTGTCGTAAAATAGAAGTCGCCAAATAAAAGATGGATGGGTGAAAATACGCCAACAGAAACCTCGAAAAGCAAGTGGTTCTTTTTTCAATGATGTTCTATTTTCACTTTGATCATCTGGTTAAAAGTCATAATAGAAAAGAATTTTGATCCAAATTTGAAAATAATAATAACCCTATACTTGACTTTTAGGCCTTGTGAGGTTTTTGTAGATCCTCTCAAAATGCTTTAGAATAAAGACTTATTCAAAATCCTACCACGGTTTTATTGTTATGTGGAGCTAAGTGTGGTTAAATGTCGTCGTCGTCGTCTTCCTCCGCTTATCCGGGTCCGGGTCGCGGGGGCAGCATCCCAACTAGGGAGCTCCAGACCGTCCTCTCCCCGGCCACCTCCACCAGCTCCTCCGGCAGGACCCCAAGGCATTCCCGGACCAGATTGGAGATGTAACCTCTCCAACGTGTCCTGGGTCGACCCGGGAGCCTTCTGCCGGCAGGACATGCCCAAAACACCTCCCCAGGGAGGCGTCCAGGAAGCATCCTGACCAGATGCCCAAACCACCTCAACTGACTCCTTTCGATCCGGAGGAGCAGTGGCTCTACTCAGAGTCCCTCCCGAATGTCCGAGCTCCTCACCCTATTTCTAACCCCCAAATTCCACTACCTCCGCTCCGGCCCGCCCCCGCCTTCCGCAGCCGCTCGCTTCCGAACTCAATTTTTACTGGTACCCGCTCTACAACGGCTCCTCTCCGGTGCGGAGACCTGAGGGGGCAAACAAGCATGTGCGGGATTTTCGAGATCTTGCGATACAGTCCGAGCAATAAACGCGGAAGTTAGATCCAAACACCCGTTGTGTGGGAGAAGCATCGGCATGAACTGTTTAATCTGCCCATCATTTGTGTGTAGAGATCAGCAGTGTTTGGATCAACAAAGTGTGACTACTTTGATAGTGGAAACTGTATTTATGGCTTATTTTTGTGCATTTAAACTTCAGCCGCCATTGATAGTTGTTAAAAGTTGTTAAACCTGTGCATATGAAACAAAAAACGCCTTTTGTTGATCGATTTATTGTGAAAAACGGAAGTTGTGCTTGCTCCTTTTCCTGTTGGGCCGTTGTGATTTCTGTCCATTTACTGCGGAGGTGCTCCGGCATCCGGCGAAAATAGGATCAATTCTATTTTTGCCGGACGCCGGAACAGAGGGCGGCGCACGGCGCCGCACTGCCGGAGCACGGCCGCAGTAGTGGAATTGCTCTGACTGACTACAACGGGACCGATTTTGCTCTGGCGTTCGTGTCGGAGCGGAGGTAGTGGAATTTGGGGGTGAGGCTGAGCCCGGCCGCCCTACGGAGGAAACTCATTTCAGCCGCTTGTATCCGCGATCTCATTCTTTCGGTCATAATAATAATAATAATAATAATTTTTGGTTAAATGTCGTTTTTAAAATAAAAAACGTGACTAAAAACGTAGCTGTTACAATGCTAAATGTGGCAGGTGATGTAGGTGATAAATTAGTAAATATGAGCAAAGTTGACTAACGACTGCAGTAACAATGATAGCCCAAGCTGTAATTGGGGAAGTTTCAGTTGTTCAGGTTACATCTACTTGTTGTAATCTGTTGCTTTACAAAATGCACAGAGAGCCAGCATCACTCTGACCGCCTGACATGACAAACATGTCCCAGCGACGCCGTCAGGTCACCAGAGAAGGAAAAACACGAGTGGACTTTTCACCAAGATGTCAAACAATGGCACCTAAACTAGGAGGAGCTTGAGCCGTAGCAGCGTGGCGTTACTGGGGCACCACCTCTTTCAAAGAAGCCAGCGCTGAATGGATTCGGACGTGAAGTCGGTTTTCAAAGTCGTAGCCGGTAAAATCCTCCTAATAATTTAAAATAGAACATTTTCAGTCACTGATGTGTTTTACTTAAAGAGCAAGTCACCCCCTAACAAGAAGCGTACTTCACTCCCTCTTCATGTTTGAAAAATGCAACAAATGCTGTTGCCAGGCAGACCGAGAGGGCGGAGCCGCTAACAAATACACACACTCACAGGCTCACAACATCATTGTGACATCATAATGTACCAGTTTACATCATAGCATACCTCTTAGCCAATAGCGGTGGCAGATTTAAATTTGAATACAGTGCTGAGTTTTTACCTGACGACGGCGCAACACTGCCAGTTTTAGGCAGAACATTTTAACTAAAATGCACTAAAGTGCCAAATTATTGATGACACGTGTCTGCAGCACGAATAGACACTCGTTTATTTAGTTTATCAGAAAAAAATAGTTGATTTGGGGGTGACTTGCTCTTTAAAATCATTGAATGCTTGATTTTGATTTAATTTTTTACCTTGGCTTGAAGTAGGAAAGACCGACCCTTTGCCACTGTCTGAAAGACAACAAAAATGTGTTTACATTGGTTCACAGACGCCCATTATAGTGGTAGTGACTAATCATGTTACAACTGCATGCACTCAACGGACCTCTGGTTTGGCAAGAAGGATACATCCCAGCTCATAGACGGCATACGGCTGAATGTAGGAGTTTATCTGTCGTCCATACTCGTCTCTAGCAGCCAGCTGTAATGACTGAGTCACAGAGAAAGCAGAGTGAGAACGACTCACCGCTAGACTAACCCAAAAGCTATTCTCCCCTCAGAGAGGACCCCCACCTGAACAGCATCTCTTATGTTTCCGTGGCATTTATGGATGGATCCGAGGAGGAGGTGTTTCAGGCCTCGGCACGAAGTGTCATCTAAACTCTGCAACACTGAGAACCAACCCAGACGAAAAGATCACACGAGGCAAAAAGGTCACGCGTGCACGTGCTCATCTCACAGAGGGCAGCACTTACCTTGATTCATTATCTGCAGTTTAGATGGAGAGCAGTTTGGAAGTGCTTTCCACAAATAAAGGACTTCAATTACCCCGAGGATGCATAGCTGTCTGGTGGGCGAGACCTTTCTCAGTCTCTCAGTCTGCAGAAGAGAATTAAAAAAGCTGTGATTTCTGTCAAAAAAAAAAAAAGAAGGAAATAAATAATCCCAAAGCTGCAGTGAGGCCAACCCTTTTAACAGCAAACTGCTCTATCTGGTTGTTTTTTCTCTTGAACAACTTCTGGACATCTTTGAAAACTCCACTAGCTCCATCCAGGTCCCCTGAAGCCCCCTGACACACTGAAAAAACAAAAGCAGCGCATTAAATGACACTCAAACAGCCACCAGACCTGAGCTGCGTCCGTCAGACCTACCTCCAGTCAAGTAGGCATAGTAGCACTGCGACCAGCGTGACTCGTTTTTCAGCCGTTCAAATGCTCTGAAGGCATCGTCGAAGTTTAACTCGATCATGCTACACCAACCTGAGCCCAGAAACCAGCACACGGGATAAAGTGAGTCCCTCGCTGCACTGTGAACCCGCAGTAGGTGTGTAACGACTGACCTGATGAGAAAACACGTACCAATCTCATAGAGACACACATGCTGGATCTCTCTTTGGTCTGATGCGAGATCTAATGCATCGTGAAAACAGGCCAGCGCACTGTTGATGTGGCACTGGGGACAGAGGAGAGAGCACACACACCAACAGGTAATGCTAAATATGTCAGACACACACTGCATGCATGTGTTGGATGAGAGAGAGAGAGAGAGATCATATCTGACCAGAGGTTGGTGAGGAAATGAATCATGTGGCATGCGTGATAAATCATACGTGACCAGATGCCACTGTGCCGGTCAACAGAGGTGTTAAAAATGGCTCCTTCTGACGGGCAATGAGGATCACAGCCAGCTGCACCCGCTACACATACCTCCAGCCTCTGAACTCGTCCCTTGAAGAATATGAAAAGGGACGAGTTGGGGTAAACCACGGACTTTCTCTGCAGAATAGCTTTGGCCTCCAGCAGTCCTTCATGGGTATCCGAGCCATCCAGAGCAAAGAAAGGCAGCACTACTGTGTGGTACCACAGGAGGGCCAACCTGAGCAGCCAGACAGGACATTTAACAGGTTAGTCCCAATCCCCTCCGACTGTTTCTACTTCATGTTTATTTGTTACCTTTTACACTCCTCTGCATCAATAACTTAACAAACAAACCCCTATAAGGAATGTTAGGTGAGGCATGCACAGGGACACTAGTTTTTTTTAGTATTCTGCACTTTATTTATTTAAAGATGAGAATTATTTAAATATAAATTAACCCTCTGGAGGCAGGCGTTGCAGATTTGCAACGTTAAAACCTGCCTACCTGGTTACTCCACACACGTATTTCATGAGCATTTTTAACTCAGAAGTTCCCCCGAAGGACTTAGTTGTTCGTCCTTTTATCAAAACTTATTTTGAGCCTGAGAGGGTTAAGATCACGTTGTAAATTCAAGAGTCAGTTTAGTGTAGTAGCCTATCACCTGAGGTGGAACATACTGTAGAGGCATTATAACCCTTCTGCTCAGATCTGCTCTACTTTTAATGTTTTTATCATAGAACAAGATCCATGTCCACGGAAACGTTCTCCAGTCCTGTCTGTGGTGCTCATGGACAAGATCTCAAGGTGTAACTGTGAAGAGGAGGGAGTCTGGTTTTGGAACCTCAGGTTATTGTCATGTCATGACGTCAGCATGCACCGGGGCAGCTCAAAGCTGGGATGAGAGTCAGCTCCTCCCAGACTGACTGGAAATGGGGGAAAGCTCCCTTTAGGTTGTGAATTACTGCCTCAAATGTACGAGTTCAAGTATCGTGGTGCTTCGCTAGCAAGTGATGGTAGGATGGAGCAAGAGATGGAGGACCAACTCAGGGTGCATGAAAACTCTATTTAATGGTAGTCTACGTTCCAACCCTTACCTATGATCATGAGATTTGGATTGTGACCAAAGGAATAAGATCAGCTGAAACACGCTTCTTTAACTCAGCATTGGAGATAAGGCTTCTGGGTGAAGCTCAGATTAGAAGAAGAAGAAGAAGAAGAAGAAGAAGAAGAAGAAGAAGAAGAAGAAGAAGAAGAAGAAGAAGAAGAAGAAGAAGAAGAAGAAGAAGAAGAAGAAGAAGAAGAAGAAGAAGAAGAAGAAGAAGAAGAAGAAGAAGAAGAAGAAGAAGAAGAAGAAGAAGAAGAAGAAGAAGAAGAAGAAGAAGAAGAAGAAGATATCATTTCTAAAGCGCCTCTCAAGACAAAAATCACGAGGCACTTCACAAAAACAAAAAATGTAAAAATATAAAAAAGAATTTAGAAAATTGTTAAAAATATATTTAAAATGAGCAAAAAATAGACAATTGTGATTAAAAAATGTTAAGAAAGAGAGAGAGTGAACAGGAAAGAGGGAACTCAGTGGATCCTGAGGAAGGTGGAATAGGTGGGGAGAGCAGAATAAAGAGAGAGAGGTGAAGAAGGTCATACAAAAGCCAGCTTGAACAAGTGAGTCTTCAGCTGCTTTTTAAAGGAGACCACTGAGTCCACTGATCTCAGGCTCAGGGGGAGAGAGGTCCAGAGTCTGGGGGCCACAGCTGTTACGGATCCTGGGCTCCCGCACCTTGAATGGCCCAATCCTTCTCCCTCCATGCTGTTTCAGGACCTTGGACAGGTCCTCCGTCAGGCTGGCCTCCGCCTCGGCCCGCCCACTCTGCACCAGCTGCGGACAATCTCCCGATGATGAAACGCTATTGAAAAGACTCCGGTTCCAGTTTCTCAGGGAGAGACTCACAGACCAGACCTCTGTCTTTCTCTCCTCGATTAGATTCATGTGACAATCGAGTAGCTTGGACTAGAGTGTGAATAACAGTGTTTAGTAACCGTGTGTCCGTTTGAAGAGCCGTTTGATTCTGCCCCAGTGAGGCCTTTTCGTTTTCAGCTTCATAGCGCGCTTTTCGTTAATACCCTTTTGAACATTGATAGCCATCGAGTTTGGGTTTTTAGTTGGTTCCGGCTCTTTGTTTTTCGTTTTAGATCGATAGTTGTTCCTGTGTTTTCTTCCCTGGGACCGTTTGTCCCAGGTGTTTTGAGTTATCTCCGTGGTGTGTTTTATTTAGTTACCTTGAATTTGAACTTTTCCAGTCGAGGACTGTGTATTTTGGTAGAATTCTGTAAAATAAATCCCTTTTATTTACTCTCACCCCTCCTTTCTCCACATCAGTTTTTAATGTTACCCCTTGCCACAACGCCTAACACCTAGGGTTTGTAACACAGCAGCAGATGATCTGTCACCTTTGACCTTTAGCCTGGTGCTGCACAACCAGTAGGCTTTGATCACTGGACCTCAGGGACCTGCTGGGGGTGTAGGGACTAAGAAGATCACCAAAGTAAGATGGTGCTTGTCCATGTAAGGCCCTATAGACCAGAACCAGGATCTTGAAATGAACCCTGAAGTTGACTGGCAGCCAGTGAAGCTGGAGGAGAAGCGGGGTGATGTGGGTGTGTTTGGAGGACTTGGTCAGAAGCCGAGCACAGGCCTCTACACATTAGAGCCTCTACTCCCTCCAGGTGGCTCAAACATCTGATTAAGAGGCCTCTCGGTCATCAGTCTCTTGGTGTTTAGAGAATCAAAATTAAATAAATGAAAAATAAAACATAGGGAGTCAGAAGTGGAGGAGCAAACAGAACCGATCAACTGCCACCCAATCAGCACAGCGAGTACAGTAACCCCTCTCAAGTTTACTTTGTCTCTTTTCCTGCCATAAGTAGGCGGTTGGAAGGAAATGTGCTTTAATTCTGTATATATGTAGTGAACCATGACAACAGGACAAGCTGAAAGCTGCTGCAGAGATGGCCGATAACTATCCATGCTCACACGTGATTCTCTAGTCTGTTAAATATTTATTGTACAGAAATTGTAAATTCTATTTTCTTTATCGTTCCTTCCCAACAGGAAACATTGAGGTGCGGGCTTACTCACGTAGCTAGAGGTGCCTTCATGTCCTTGCTCTCGCTCGCGTACATGAGGGAGGACAGGCCCTGGAGACGGTCTCCAGGGAAACCCAGCAGGTTGATGATCTTGAGCAGGTGTGGTGGCACCATGGAGATGCACAGGTGGAAGAGGCCGTAGCCGAAGCTGACGGAGCCCTTGAGCCTGTCCAGGGCCTTGGCCGTCACACCGTTCTCCACTGGGGCGTTGTGGTTGTGGTTGTCAGCTGAGAGGGACTCCTGGCTGCCGGAGCTCCTCCGCTGACAGGTCTCCTGTAGCTGACTGATGTCACTGTGGCATTTATTGTACATCTTCCACGCCTTACGGAGAATCCAGCCTCCTTTAATATATGCTGTTGTGGAAAAATAAAGAACATGCTGCTGGGCACACAGCTAGGTTGTTGGTGTCAGATAAAAAAAATGCTGAGTATTGAATAAGCTGCTGATCTAGTGGAATTTTCACCCACAACCATCTAACAGAAGCAGATGGACCCAAGCAGCAGAAGACCACACCAGGTGTCTCTCCCGTCAGCTAAGAACAGGAACCTGAGGCTACAACTCACACAGGATCACCAGAACTGGACCAGAAGAGACTGGAAAATGTTTCCTGGTCTGATGAGTCTGGATCTCAGCTGCAACACTCAGATGGTCGGGTCAGAATCTGGTGTCACCAACATGAAAGCACGGATCCATCCTGCCTTGTATCGATGCTTCAGGCTGCTGCTGGTGGTGTAATGGTGTGGGGGAGATGATCTGGTCCCACTTTGGACCTCTTAGTACCACCTGAGCCTGGTTTAAACACCACAGCCTACCTGAGTATTGTTGCTGACCATGTCCATCCCTTTATGACCACATGGACCCATCTTCTGATGTCTACTTCCAGCAGGATAAAGCACCATGTCACAAAGCTCAGAGCATCTCTGGTTGTGTAAGCTTGTTCATCTATGACATGAAGACAACTCTGAAGGCTCTATTTCTCCTCACTTGTAACTCAAAGATAAATGAAACCTTCTGCTTTTGTTTAGATGTATCCGTTAGCAGGGAGCAGTGTCCCATAAAGCTGTTTTTATGCAAAAAATAAAATAAACGTATGTGTTAACAGAATAAAAGATGCATTCCTCATCAAATCATAGTTTAGCTCTGAATGAGACTGTATTTAACCCACGTGTCTAGGGATCAGATCAGTGTCTAGAAGGACTCTAATGGGCCATTCCCATCTGTACCGGGTCGGCCCGGGCCGGGTAGCGTAGGTTGTTTACATATCTGGGTGGCCTGGTATTTTTCCGGGCCAACCAAGGCTCATTCTCAGCCCTCTTCTCGAGGGGGTCTGCTTCAGGCCGACCAGGGCCAACACACCCACTGCTGACAGCAAATCCACACCTTCCATTAGAGCAAGCCTCTGATTGGTGGGTAGAATCAGCCCACATGGGCTTAAGGCAAGGATGTGTGGAATCAACCGGGCCAGGCTGGGGCCGACTGGGGCTACCCGGCCCGGGCCGACCCGGTACAGATGGGAGTGGCCCATTACACCAGGTATGCTAGCCTACTAGCAGGATCACAGGATCCGCTTTTACAAAAACATCAATTTTTCAACAAAAATTGTAAAAGTTGGATGAACCTAAAGAAGCACCAAGTGGTAAGAAGCAGAAGCACAGATTAAGGTAATAACATTTAAAGAGTTAATTTGCAAAAATAGATAAAAGCCGTTTTTGATCAATATCATCCGACTTTATTGCGACTGATTTCAAATGAATTAAATAATGGGGCATTTTTGGAAAATGTATCTGTTTTTGCAAATGAACTCTACATTTATTATTATTGTTATTATTATTATTATTATTATTATTATTATTATTATTATTAGTTTGTTCACCTGAGATTTCCTGTTTGACAAACGACAGAACAGCAAGATACACCTGGCAGTCAGCAACGATGATCTGTCTCTGTAGGCGGTCCACAACAACAACGCCTGACCTTTGGGAGTCCATCTGTAACACACACACACACACACACACACACACACACACACACACACATACACACACACACACACACACACACACACACACACACACACACACACACACACACAGCAGGCTTTGTTTGGAGGCTGCTAGCTTAACTGGTGGCTGGTAGGTGGTGGAAGAAGGAGTTTTCAGAGGAACTTGAGGCTGCCGACCAGCTCTCAGATCTCTCATACAGCTTGTTGATTGAATTTCAGGGACGGACTAATCGAATTTGATTGGGGCTTTGGCATGATCTCACTGTGGCCTGCATGGCTACACCTAAAGCTGAGTTCCCTAACTGTGTTATCTTTACTGAGATCTGTTCTGGCAGTGAGATTAGGAGATATCAGAAACACTGGAAATCAGCTAAATGAACATAACATCCATGATAGTTTCCAGTCAGGTTTTCGTAGAGCTCATTTCACTGACACAACTCTTCTCTGGGTCTCTAATGACCTTCTGACCCACAGTGATGCAGGGGATTGCTCTGGTCCTGAGGCTGGGAGACTGGGTAGGCCTATTAGGATCTGCTCTGGAGTGGTTCTCCCCAAATCTATCTGAGCGTTCCTTCTCTGTTGCCGTCTCCAAGTTTCAGTCCTCCACCACATCCCTCACCCATGGTATTCCACAAGGTTCTGTGCTGGGGCCTCTGCTCTTCCTCCTCTATCTGCTTCCTCTTCAGCACATCCTGAGCTCCTTCAAAGGAATCTCCTACCATCTTTATGCAGATGACATCCAACTGTACATCTCCTTTAAGCCCCATGAGATGTCTAAGCTGCAGCTGTTAACACACCTGCTTAGACTCTATCAAAACCTGGATGGTGGGAGCTTTCTTCAGCTGAATGAAGATAAGACTGAGATCCTCATCTGTGCCCCAGACAAGCTGGTTCCCAAAGTCAGAGACTCTCTTGGTCAGCTTGCTTCCCACACCAAACCTTCTGTCAGGAATCTTGGTGTGACCTTTGACCCAGCTCTCACCCTGGATTCTCATGTCAGTTCTCTTGTTGGCTCTTCCTTCTTCCATCTCAGGAACGTTGCTAAGCTGAGTCCCATTCTGTCCCGCTCTGAACTTGAGACAGTTCTCCACACCTTCATCTCCTCACGCTTAGACTACTGTAACTCTCTTTTCACGTGTCTGAGCAGAACCTCCCTGAACCGTCTACAGGTGGTTCAGAACGCCTGTGCTCGGCTTCTGACCAAGTCCTCCAAACACACCCACATCACCCCGCTTCTCCTCCAGCTTCATTGGCTGCCAGTCAACTTCAGGGTTCATTTCAAGATCCTGGTTCTGGTCTATAGGGCCTTACATGGACAAGCACCATCTTACATTGGTGATCTTCTTAGTCCCTACACCCCCAGCAGGTCCCTGAGGTCCAGTGACCAAAGCCTACTGGTTGTGCAGCACCAGGCTTTTGTCTGTTTAAATTTTTTGTTCTTGTCAAGCGCCTTGTGACATTAATCTTGAGAGGCGCTTTCTTTTCTGTCTAAATGTGCAGACTGGTTTAATGAGTAAATTTGAAGTTTATCTCTGCTTGAATTTAACAACAGCTCTTGTTTTCCTGTGCTCCTTGTACTTACACTCTTTTTAATCTTGTTTCTGATTGTTTCTAACACTCCAGCACTGTCGCTCTCACACAGTTTCTCAGTGGTCCTCAGGTCATCACAGGCCATCTGCATCTTCTCCTCTTCAAATGTCATCATGGCATTCTGAAGTAAAACACAGAAGAAAAACTCGCACTGGTTAACTTTTGTGTGCTACGATTATAACTCATTAGTTAACCCCCCCTACTGTCCTAATGGGTGTGACCCCGCAAGGAAAGTTGACCATTGAGCAGGGTTGATGGTCACAGTGGAGATTCCTATTTAACTTATTAGCAACACTAGTGCTTGGACTTGGAATTGCTTACACATGAAATCTGATCATCGTGCAAAGGGCAGTTGAGTGGCAGAATAGGGTCACTTCAAGGGGCAGCAGGGTATAATGCCCCCGTGGGCCTGGCCCTAGAACTGCTGATGCTCTTACCTCTCTATCTTACTATCTCCTTATGAGAGCTGCCTTTAAGTGAGTACAATGACAATTGCGTTGTACGTCACAATGACAATTTAACAATTTAGCATTTTGTAATAGATATCCATCCATCCATCCATCCATCCATCCATTTTCATCCACTTATCCGGAGTCGGGTCATGGGGGTAGTAGCTTAAGGCGAGAGGCCCAGACTTCCCTCTCCCCAGCCACTTGGGCCAGCTCCTCCGGGGAAATCCCAAGGTGTTCCCCGGCCAGGTGAGAGACATAGTCCCTCCAATGTGTCCTGGGTCTACCTTTAGGCCTCCTCCGGTTTGGATGTGCTCAGAAAACCTCACCTGGGAGGTGTCCAGGAGGCATCCTGACCAAATGCCCGAGTCATCTCAACTGGCTCCTCTCGATGTGGAGGAGCAGCAAATCTACTCCGAGCCCCTCCCGGATGGCCGAGCTTCTCACCCTATTCCTAAGGGCGAGCCCAGCCACTCTGCGGAGAAAACTCATTTCGGCCGCTTGTATCCGCGATCTCGTTCTTTCATTCACTACCCAAAGCTCATGACCATAGGTGAGGGTAGGAACGTAGATATATATATATATGTGTGTGTGTGTGTGTGTGTGTACATACTTTATTGTACACAAAATGTTGTGATTAAAACAGGCTAATAACAGGTGATAGCTCAATCTAAGAGGGGAGATGTGTTATGCAATACAGTCATCAGGGAAACACAAAAGGCCCTTTCTAACTGGAGGAACATGGTGACATCTGCACAGCTGAGGCTAAAAAAAGCCTTCCTGCTGTCAAAAGCAGAAAATCTTTGCTGCTTGCTGCGCAGATCACTAAGGATCAGAGAACGTGGAAGAAATAGAAGGAAATAAAGATCTATTAAAGAAAATGATCTATTATATAGCGCCTCTCAAGATAAAAATCACAAGGCGAACAAATAGAGGGAGAACCTACGAAACACTAAATATTTTACATTTTTGCGGCAATAATTTGGTGAGTATGTGCTTCTCTGCATTAAAAACGGGTGTACGAATGTCACATGTGACCATTTTTATTCACCATGGTCAATTAGCATGGAGGGACCGAGGATGACATCATGCTGTGTGAGTAGGCATGAGAGGAAGTGACAGAGAGTGTGTGTGCGCACATGCGTGTCAATCACGTCATAAATCATGTCCCGCATGTCAGCACTGACAGGAACAGCATTTCAGTAATGCCCTTCTCCGCATGGGCGACGCTGTTCTTGAGAGGAAGAGGAATCCATTAGGTTAATGGGTGGAGAAGCAACACAAAGCAGCAGAGGATGTTGGTGACAAGAACCTGTTTGACAGATTAGATCAGGGGTGTCAAATATGTGGCCCGCAGGCCGGATCCGGCCCGCAAGCGGGTTAAATCCGGCCCGCGAGATGGTTGTGTAAACTTTATTTTCATACTTTACAATGTAGAGTGAAAATAAACGTATCACTGTGAGCAAGTTTCCTCTGTAATGAGTATAAATAAAACAAAGCTGCGCTCAAGGCTCACACAAGAACTTGAATCACATCCTGAAGTTGGCCGCCACTCAGGATGTGACTTCTGATGTTGATGTTCTGGTGAAAGCTAAAAGATGTAAAGTAAAATGAGTCAAATATACTTTAAGTGCTGCATGAAACTGATCTAGCCATGTGATCTGTAAGCTCTGAATCACTATGGAATGTTTTTTTATGTTGATTTTTTTTTTCTAATTTTCAAGTACACTTCAGGTGTTGTACTTGTACTACACTGTCCTCAGGCTCCAGCCTTGTTTTATAGTGATTGTATTAAAACAAAGAAAACACTCTGAAGTTTTTTTTTTTATTTACCGGTCCAGCCCACCTGGGACTAGATTTCCCTCGATGTGGCCCCTGAGCTAAAATGAGTTTGACACCCCTGGATTAGATAATCTCAGCTATCTCACAAATCCCCTCCATCATTTTTAACCACAGCATGTCCTTTGTCTAGATTACCAGGAACTCACCAGAAAGCTGACAAAACTCGCTCCAAAGCTCATCAGTGGGCTCTGTGTCCTGCAGAAGGGACAGAAACAACAATATAACATGTTTATTGCCAGACTTAAAGTCCATTTTAAAATAAACATACAGACAAAAGAAAAAGATACAAGAAAAACACAAGAAAAGAAACGATAACGATTAGCATTAATACAAATAAAAGCCTGTGTAAAATCACAGGATATAACTGCAGCGGAGGTAAGGGACAACAAAACTAACTAGCTGAGATAAATCCACCCAAACATTTTAACCAGTGCATTCTCAGCCTAGACATACAACGAGAGCAGCTCACAGCGGGATTTGAGTGCAACTATAACACTATTGGAGGACTCTTCCAGCCGTCTCATGAACTCCAACATTAAATTTCTTAGAAGTGCCTTAAATGTGCACACGCTCACAGAAACAAGCGTTTGACTAGCGCTGCCTCCCCTGGGAATTTTGAGGAGGATTCTCGTTGCATCATCGTATGCCACTTGTAACCCGTGCAAGCTAGACTTTTATAGAATGACCACAGATGTGCAGTAGATAGTGGTGTGCTGTTGTGAGCCGGGAGGTGAGCACTCTCCACACACCATGATTTCCCCTGTGTGTTTGAGCTTGTCTGGTTTCAGGAGAGAGAGCAGCAGCTGCGACCCATCAGATGATCAGCGGGCCGCCTTCAGAAGGAGGACGGAGGACGCTTCTGGTTGCCGGATGATTACGCCTCACTGGTAGAGTCCCAGCCCTCGTGAAACTTGAAACCTTGTCTTTGAAACTATTTTGCATCGTGTTTTTGCCCTGACCTAATTCCAGTTTTTTCTTACGCTCCAGGCTCAGTCGTTCCTTCCCATAAACCTGCTTTCTCGTTTTTGGATTCCAACTTTGTTACCTTACAGCTCACGGTCTTCCTCCTCGGTCCTCGTCCTCTCAACTGGTTCCAGCCCGCTCGCTGCACAGTCTGCCCTCTCTCTCCTACCTGCTGGAGACCCATCACTCTGCGCTCTTGGACGCTTCCTCGCTCTCCTGGCTCACCCCTCCTCAGACATGCTACTCTCTCTCCCATCCACGCTGCTTCCTGTTCTCTTACCCGCTGGACTACCAGTGCGCCTTTAGTTGTTATTCTAATAAAAAAAAAATTATTTTTTCTAACATCCTGCCTCCGAGTTTGATTCTGCAAGTCCAGAGTTAAACACTTGCCTCAGAACATGACATGTGCAGTATGCTTTAAATGATGCCGCTTTAAAAGGTGTGGAACAGCTGAATGTCCGTGCAACGGTGTTTGCTTGCACATACAGTATAGCTTGCAGCACTGCCTGTAAATATCATCACTGTCGCTCGTATTGGCTGTGATAAAATGTCCAAGATATTTTATCTTTTCACAGACTGCAAGACTGTTGCTGGACAACTTAAACACAGGAAAATTAAGCCTTTTATCCTGGGCGGTTCTGTAGATTAGAACAACACGTTTGCTCGAGTTATATTTTAAATCCTATTCCATTCCATACCCAGTACTAACGTCTAGGAGCTGCTGCAGTCCTGCAGTACTTGGACTAAAAACTACGAGGTCATCTGCATACATAAGGGGATTAATCAAAACATCACCTATCAAACAGCCTGTGTTACAAGCTCTCAGACGCCCAGATAGTGCCATGGTCTGCATCTGCCCCCTCCCTTATGTGTCTGCTGATGTGTCTCCATCCTCTCTAGATTCCCTTTTGTGTCTCATAGCGCCCTCATGTGTCCTTTGTCTGCGTCTCAATTATGTGTTTTCTGTTTGTAGGCATTCAATCATCCCCATCCCCTCCAGTTGTAGCTTCAGCCTCTTTGTCCCCAGCTCTGTGTGTGTGTGTGTGTGTGTGTGTGCGTGCGTGCGTGCGTGCGTGCGTGTGTGTGTGTGTGTGTTCATTCCCCAATTCAGTGTGTGTGAGTGTATTTGGGTGTGAGTGTGTGTGAGTCCTTCCCTCAGTCTTTTAGTTCAGTTTTGTGTTTATCTGCCCTCCTTTGGTTCTGCTTCCCCATTTAGATGATTGGTGTCACCTGTCTTCCCTCCAGCCCTCACTCCACACACCTGCTTCCTGTTTCCCTTATTGTTCCTCCCAGTCTATTTAAGCCCTGTCTCGTCTCTGTGTTGTTGTCGGTCCATTGTTGTTTGTCAGCGTTGTTTCGCGCTCTGGTGAGCTTATGTCTCCAGGTTTTGTTGCTCTAAGTGAGCTTTCGTCCTCCTGTTGTTCAGGACTTGGTTTTTGGCTTCCTCCCCTTTTTTTGGATTTTTGGTTCATCACCTAATAAAAGGATTTTACTTTTAAAACCACTCCTGCCTCGTGCCATCCTGGGTACTGCATTTTGGGTCCAAACCATCCTCTCAACGTGACAGATAGTTCATCAACATATAAGATGAACAAAACGAGATAAATTTCCACCCTGCCTTACCTCATTGGACACACTAAAGGGATCAGAAATACTCCCACCCCATTTAACATGCATCTTCTGGCGGGCATACCAATAGGCAAGCACTCACAGCACCTCCAGGCACACCCCTTTGCTTTAATTTAGTAAAAAGCTTTTTATGATTCACTCGATCAAACGCTTTGGAGACATCAGTAAAACTCATGAGAATAGTAGAATTTTTTGACCTATATAGATTCACTATTTCCTTAAGAGCATGGACACACATGTCCGTACCATGCTTGGACTTAAAACAAAACTGTCACGTTTTGAGGATGTTTAGGACCCAAATATGCAGAAACCCAGGATGACACGAGGCTGGAGATGATGTAAAGTAAATATGCTTTATTTTGCAGGACGAACAAAAAATAAATCCAAAGGCAGCGACCCAAAAGTCCAAAAACCCTGGTGACAAAAACAAAAGTTCACTGAGAGCACCAAAACCTGGAGACATAAGCTCACATAGAGCACGAAACAACGCTGACAAATGCAAACATACAATGGACCGACAACAACACAGAGACAAGACAGGGCTTAAATAGACTGGGAAGCTGAGAGGGAGATAATTGCAGGTGTGTGGGGAGAGGGACCAGGTGAACACAATTACTAAATCAGGGAGGAGGAAGAAAACACTGGTGGGAAAAACACACTAAATACTGAAAGGCTGTAACAAAGGAGAATGACCAAAGAGAAAAACAAAAGACCTGAAAGCATGAACCATGACTAATATACTAAGGGGAAGCTGACACTAAAGGAAAACACTATAGAAAGAAACAACAGGGGCGTGGCTAAGAGGGGGCCAAGAGAGCACAGGACCTGGGAAAGGGATGTCTGAGGGGGGAAACCTAGAGGGCAAATGGGGAACACCAGGAGACACATGAAGAAGACGCAAACATGACACCTGAGGGCGCTAGAAGACACAAAAGGAGCACCTAGAGAGGATGGAGAAACACCAGGAGGCACATGAAGGGGCAGACGCAGACCATGACACAAACTGATTATCAGAGGAAAATAAATACTCACTTACTCTATCCAAGAGGATTCTTTCCACGACCTTAGATAAAACACTAGTCAATGCAATGGGTCTATAGTTGTCTAGGCAACCAACTTTTCCCGCCTTTTCCTTAATAACTGGAACAAGCAATGTGGTCATCATTGTATTAGGAAGTATGCCGTGAGCCACAAATCCAGTAAAACAGATTGCTAATAAGGGAGCAAGCCTGGGACTAGCATGTGTCAAATGCTCTGCTGTGACTGAATCTATGCCACATGCTTCACTGTTAGCTAATTTCTGCACAGCATCATAAACCTCATGTGACAAAATATTTATGGACTCATCTCTAATGACAGAATCTACCACATATGGGTCATTATTTGAGCGATTATAGGGGGAACTGTAGTGCTGTCTCCAAAAGAGGAGACAAAACATAAAGTTAAAAATGATGCAGAATGATTGGCATCGAGAGTTTCCTGTTGGTCTCAAACACAGCTGGCTCAGGAGAAACTGAGCTCAGCCCTAACCCTGTCATGGCTGACTCCAGTTCAGTTTTATCCAGTGCCAAACCACGACAAGAGTTGTCTCAAAGCACTTCACAAAATAAAACATTGCCGATATTATGCCGATTAGGTAAAGGTTTCCTACATATTTCAACAACAACAACTACAATAGTAATAATAATAATAATAATAATAATAATAAAGGCATAACACATAATCAAATTTGTTAAAACAATACAACATTACAGTTGCAGGGCATTTAACCCCATTTTCAATCATTTGCTGACCTATAAAGGGGAAAAAACTATCGAAATATTTCAAAAGTCTAATTATTTTGAGGGTTTTTAAAGAAGGGTGTCACGTAAATTTTCTTCTTACAATTTTCATTATTTGTTTTTATTATTACTTACACCTTTTGCTTTTTCAAGATGTACATTGAAGGGATATTAACTCACTCACTGCCAACCGTTTCCTGATCACTAACGGCCTTCGCTGCCAGCGTTTCTCATCGTTTTTACTGTTTTTTAAGAGTCACAGAACGTTGCGCGCTAGCATGATGTCGACGCCAAAACAACCAAAACAAAGAGGAGACTCACCTCTTACATCAGGAAGAATCTGCGTGTTTCAAGCGTTATCCGTTCTTTCATAATCCGTTGTCGAATTGTGATCAGCAGACGCTTTTCCGGTTCGCGCCTCAATTTTTTTTACAGGAACGGCCCAAAACGATCTCCAAACACATGGATGTGTTGCTTCCTGATCATGTGACGTGTGATGTATGCGGATGAAGATCGGCTTCAGGGCTGAGATGTTTGTTCTCTCAGCGAGGGGGCTCGTTCCGATGCTCAAACAGTAAAAAAATGCAAATGACGACTTAAGTCGTCATTGGCAGTGAACGAGTTAAAATGTCTTGTTTAGTAAGCAAACTCAAACCGACAGAAATTTCTGATTATAAGAAACTCTTTCCATCCAACAAGAGACTGCTTGAGATAGAGCAGTATATAAACCCATCCATCCATCCATCCATCCATCCATCCATCCATCCACTATTGTCTGTTTATCTGGGGTTGGGTCACAGCGGCAGTAGCCTAAACAGTCCAGACTTCCCTCTCTCCAGCCACTTGGACCAGCTCCTCCGGGGGAACCCCAAGGTGTTCCCTGGCCAGCTGTGAGACATTTTTTCTCCAGCACGTCCTGGGTCTTCCTTTAGGTCTCCTCCCAGTTGGACGTGCCCAGAAAACCTCATCAGGGAGGCGTCTATGAGGTTTCCTAACCAGATGTCCTAGCCACCTCAAATGGCTCCTCTTGATGTGGAGGAGCAGCAGATCTACTCTGAGCCCCTCCCACCTGATTGAGCTTATCACCCTATCTCTAAGGAGAGCCTGGCCATCATGCAGAGAAAACTCCTTTCGGCCGCTTGTATCTGCGACCTCATTCTTTCAGTCGCTACCTAAAGCTCATGACCAGGTGAGGATTGGATTGTAGATGAACCGGTAAATCAAGAGTTTCGCCAGACTCACAAATCCACCCTGAGATATTTAAACTCCTCCACTTGGAGCAGGACCTCATCCCTGACCCGGAGAAGCGCTTTTACCAACTCAAGACCACGGCCCATGTAGAGGAGCCGATTCTCATTCCAGCTGCTTCCCACTCTGCTCCAGAAAAAGCTGGAGATCATGTTCCGATGAAGCCAACTGGACCACATCATCAGCAAAAAGCAGAGACCTCCTTGGGCCAACGAAATGGTTTCTAAACCTGTTTAAATCGGCAGATGGAAATTGAAAAGATGGAAGTCAAATAGAAATGCAAAAGTGAAACATGGAACTAAAATATAATTAATAGGTCTAAATAATACTAAATATTTTTGGCCCACATTACTGATTGAACTAATGAAAAAATATAAAACTAACTAAACAGTTTAAACTCTTATCCAATTACAAAAATACATTTGAGATTTTACATGAATTACTGTGAGTATGAATTATTTTTCAACATTTTTTTAGTTTCTGGAGATCATCTCAGGACCTTTGGGGATGAAGTCAAAACACTGAGGGAACCCTTTAAGGGGCCACATTATTATTAAAATAACAAGCAGTATATTGTCGAGTTTTAGGTGTATCTTATGACCTGTACATGCTGTACTCTGTTAAAAACGTTTCTAAACGTGGGATTATTATCATTATTGCCCAGAAAGCCTCAGTCTGGAGGCTTAAATGCTTACCTGTATCTCTTGAAAAGCTCGTCGCTTTCCTTGAATCCGTTGTTGAGCAGCATGTTGATCCCCTGCAGAGCCATCTCAGCATCATCTATGTACTCTGCCTTCTCCTCTAGCTGCTGGAGCTGCTCCGGACCCGCCATTGTCTCCTCCACGGCGCTCTGGCTGCTGGATGGAAGGAGCGCGACTGAAACAAAAATGTGTTCCCGTGTCCTCTGTGAGACAATCCCGCATTGGTTTCTGTCCTCTGGCAGCTATGAAAGACAGTCCAAAACAGGGACGCGCCTTTGGTCGGCTGCAGAAAAACAGAAGGATGATGTGATGCTTCCGCAGATGTCTGCGCACCTCGGGAGGGCCACTGACGGCGGAACGCGCTCCTGCGGTTTATAATCTGCTTCTATATACTCACAGCAGCTGCCGCGCAGGAGCGGTCACTGATCACAGCAGCAGACATCCATCAGGTCTCTTCCTGCTATTCTGATCCGTGCAGCAGCAGCAGCAGCATCCCGATCCGCAAATTACATAACGAGGCCGCTCAGCCGCGCCGCCAGTTGCCAGGCACGCAATGCGTCCGTGGAACGATCTGGCGTCATAACGCACAGTTGGTGCGGCGCCGGGAGGATGCAGTAAGTGACTGTAGAGGTGTTGCGGATGGAGCCTCTAGGGGGCGCCATCGGACCGATAGGGAAGTGAATGTGTGCCGGGAGGGGGGACAGAAAATGAAGAAATGAGACGGAAGTGCGGTGTAGTGATGGGAATTCCGGCTCTTTTGAGAGAGCCGGTTCTTTTGGCTCAGCTCACCAAAAAGAGCCGGCTCTTTCGGCTCCCAAGTGGCTCCTCAGATTTTCTGTTGCATAAAGTACATTTATAACCAAAATAATGCAAAACTATGTAAAACGATTTACTAGTGTAAAAAAATTCAAGACGTCAAATATTTATCATTTCGATGGATTTAATAACTGAACACTTTAAGAAATGTCCACTTTCCGACTGCTGGCGCTCATTTTCTCACCGTCTTCGTCACACTTTTCTCTCTCTCGCTCGCCTTTTCCCTCCTCCTCATTCCCTCTCATCTCCCGCCACCCGCATGTGCTCTGCTGTGTGTCTGAGTCTGATCCTCCCTCTTCCCCGTCCCTACTGCTCGGTGTGTGGACAGTTTGGACACACAGTTACACATGTTGACCAATCGCCTGTAGCTTTCACCAAAGCAAGAGGGGAGGGGGGAGGGGACAGCTCCCGTCGTTCACCTCAAAGAGCTGGCTCTTAGAGCCGGTTCGTTGCGACCGACACATCACTAGTGTAGTGGAACTGAACTGGTGGCTCCGTGGTCTTCATTTTCATCTTTTAAAGACTTCTACATGGTGTCAGAAGAAAAGAAGGACCTGCTGTGAGTAGGCATAACATGCTGAGTTTCAGGATGATCGTGTAGGAAGTTGGAAAGAGACACAGTGGCTGCAGACGGAGCGGACTGGCACTGAAGCCCAAGGGGAGACGGGAAGATGACGGATCAGATATTCTCCATTGCACCTCCGGGTAATTTCAACTTTGAGGTGCCCAGCTCCTGGCCGCAATGGATAAGACGGTTTGAGAGGTTTCGGCGGGCGTCCGGACTCGATGGAAAAGCGGAGGATTATCAAGTCAACTCCCTGCTGTACATGATGGGGATAAGAGCGACGACATCCTCAGCACATCACTGCTCTCTGACCAACAAAAGGCAGTTTATGCATACGTGACAAGAGCCTTTGGGGAACATTTCATCAGTAAGCACAATGTTATCTATGAGCGGGCCAAGTTTAACAGTAGACAGCAGCAGCAGGGCGAGTCTGCAGAAATTTTTATCACGGATGTGCATAAATTAGCAGAACACTGTAAGTTTGGAGCTTTAATGGAGGAAATGACAAGAGACCGCATCGTGGTTGGAATCAGAGATTCCAGGCTCTCAGAGAGACTGCAGCTAGACCCAGACCTGATGCTGGCTATAACCATAACCCAGGCAGCAAGAGGAAATAAATAAAACAACAGCAGCTGCTGCGAGGGGGCCACACCGAAAGTAAAGGGGCTAATGTGGATGCTATAAACACCAATAGAGGGAGACCACACTATAGGCAGACTCCCTCACGCAGGCCAGAGCTCATGCCCATTCCAATAACCTCAGATAAGAGTCATAATGAGGAAAAATGTAAGAGAAGCGGCAAGGGCCCGCAACACCCTTGGAAACGGCGCCCAGCCAAGGAGGCGGAGTGTCGGAAATGTAAAAAAAAGGGACACTTTGCTGCAGTTTGCAGATCATCACTGAGAGTGGAAATATTAGTGGAGAGCGACCCAGAAGAGGACATAGCTTTTATGGGGTCTGTTAACACTGATGAGACTGAGGAGGAATGGCTGAAAAATCTCAGTTTTAATGGAGAAAATGTGACGTTCAAACTGGATGCAGGAGCTTCAGTCACAGCGGCTCCAGCTTCTATGTACTCCGAAGTGCAGGATGGCAGCTTGCCGGCACCTTCCAAAAAGATTAAAGGTCCTGATAACTGCCCTTTAAAAGTCCTGGGGGTCATGAGAGCACACATCAAATCTGAAAAAACAGAAACAAGACAGGATGTGTATGTGGTGTCAAACCTAGTGATGCCTTCAGTGGGACTCCCTGCCATAATAAAGCTGAACCTGATAAAGCAGGTAGCCTCAGTCCAGCAGGAGAAGCAAGATAAATGCCATCAGTACAAAGCTATGTTCCCAAAAGTGTTTACAGACCTTGGGAAGCTGGAAGGGGCATATAAAATAAAACTGAAAGGAGCGGTCCCATATGCTCTCTCAGCCCCGCGCAGAGTCCCTTTACCTATGAAAGAACAAGTCAAACAAGAGCTAGACAGGATGGAAGCAATGGGGGTTATAAGGAGAATGGAGGAGCCTACCGCATGGTGCGCCGGGATGGTGGTGGTTCCCAAGCCAAACAAAAAACCCCGCGTTTGTGTGGACCTCACTCAACTGAATGAAAATGTGTGCAGGGAACATCACATCCTACCTGCAGTGGATGATACGCTGGCTCAGCTGGAAGGGGCAAACGTGTTTTCTGAATTAGATGCAACATCTGGGTTTTGGCAGGTGCCTCTGCACAAAGATTCCCAGCCATTAACAACTTTTATGGCCGATACTGCTTCCAGCGATTCCCTTTTGGCATATCGTCTGCGCCAGAACATTTTCAGTTGAGGAGCTCACAGATCATCGCAGGAGAAAAAGGAGCGTTGTGCCACGCGGATGATATTCTAGTGTTTGGCAAAGACAAAGTGGAACATGACGAACGGCTACAGCAGGTGCTTAAAAGAAGGGAGAAGGCTGGCCTGATTCTCAATGAAAAATGTGAGTTTTCGATGGAGAGAGTGAAGTTGCTGGGACACA